GAGAGTTATTTTTCTTCCATTCGCCCGCCTACTCCCTGTCAGCAGACCTCCCCTAAAGCACTATTGGATGCCGCAGCCCTGTCCTAAACAGCTGTTTGGTGTTTTTCCACAGCACGATTCGACTAAACACGGTGTCAATCAAATATACATTGCCGTGTAGCTCCTTGGATTCATGAAATCTACTGGCTACTGTAGTGAAATCTGTCCTCTGATTGGCTACATGGACTGGTTGTCAAGGCTTTGGGCTTCATTCACCATTTTGAGCTTGTAGAGTAGAATAGAATGTACAGAGCAGTAGTTTTTCCTCCTTTAAGTTGCTTTACAGAAGAAAGATAATGTGACAGTCCGTTAAATGTCAACCCTGGATTTCCGACTATAGGCCTACTATCGATTTTGCTACTGACTCAATAAATATCTGCATTGAAAATAATTCTGTGGTGAGTAAAACCTACGAATCTTTCTTCTGCAGCACTGCAGTAGCCAGTTTTGCTTTGTCGAGCTGCTACGTTGTAGACGTTGCCAATAATAAGCACCCTTTGTAACTACTAATACAATTATATTTTCCTTTTTTATAATACTCTACGGAGAGAAGTAAAGAGAGGATTGGATGCCACACTTCATAAAAAGGGAGCGGTGCGGGAGGATTGTCAGCCTAAAACTTTTCCCCCAGAAAATATCCATCGCCATAACTGCCATTATAAGAGTGAGACTTCCTATAAGTGTTTTTCTTCGGTTGCGCTTGAAGGCAAAACCTTGAAGTCATCTGCATCACCTACATAGTTATTAGCTTTATTATCTCGCCATAGGCTACTATTCGTGATACAAAATGTCTATTTGAATCTGTCCTTCGCCTGGGCTTGTGGGCCGCGTTTCTACGTTGTGTCCACAATTTGTACTTTTTATTGTAACTTAATGTACATTGTTGCGTTTGCACTCGCTGGTAAATTAGTTACCAAGTTGCATCCAGTAATGTCAACATTTTACAACGGTTGTCACGAATGAATTCGTAGCATAATTACTTGGGCTGCTGTCGTACGAGGTAATTACATATTGTTAGATTTAAGTAAGCCTAAGTCTGTTTGTAATACATTTTTATGAGTTGTTCCACAGCACCATATTTTGGAATACTAGGCCTTTAAATGTTTAATTTCCCGTGTTAAATTTTGCACGAAGAAGATTTTTCTAAGCGGCCTTGTGTTGTTAGACCTGCGTCACTGGACTTCACGGCCCTGTTGTGTAGTAAGCTGATAGTAATCGCAAAGCACTACGACCAATAAGAGTGCTTGACACATATACCGTACGGTACTATTTAGCGAAACTAACAGTGACGCCATTCTTGCATTCGTTTGCATTTTACAGTACTTCACTTTAGGGTTGTTGTTAATAATAATAATAATCTACATTCAGCCTAAGTACTTTGGTAGGTAGGTAGGCCCTACGTGACGTTTGTAAGTTATCCGGTAGTTGCACGATAGATCCATATTCTCCACTAGTTATCATGGTTTTATAGTTATGTATTGATGAATCGAAATTGTCGAGGTGTAAATTCATCCCACTGTGCACACACTGGTTGAATCAACGTTTTTTCCACGTGATTTAAATGAAATTATGTTTAACCAACGTAGAATAGACGTTGAATAGACGTCTGCCCAGTGGGATGTTATGCGAATATTGATTTTAATTATGCTCACATAGGATATTACCACAAGTTATCCAATGGTGACAAATGGCAATGCTATAACATGGTAATAGTTCAGCATGCTAGTTTTATACAGCATTGAAATGACAACATTTATTGAACATTGATATAACACAAGATTGAACATTGATGCAATATTGATAAATGGATAAGGCTCATACATTTAGAAGGGAAATGCGTTGTGCCTTCTTTTTTCGAAATTGTTATCACTATGACACTCACCCACATACTTGCTGGTGTGCATAGTGCACTATTGAGTAAACAATGTGCACACTTTCAACTTGAAAAAAGTGAGGCAACAAATTATTTTTATGATGACAGTTCTTTGAATGCAATCTCAAGTCTCCTGAATATAATTTCCATAATACAGATACTGGGTTGTAACTGTGTATTATCAAACAGCAGTTTACATGTAGTGTGGTCACAACAATACAGGTCTGTAGTTTCTCATTATAAGTAGATAGATACCTTGGAGTTCTGTAGAGCTAAATTAATTAAATTACTAGACGTACATGACACTAATATTCAATAAATATCATAATTTGTCCCAGACATGATGTACATGTCTCAAACATTCCATGACATGTAGCATTAAATCCCATGTGATAAAAGCAAACTCATACTCCACAACATAATTTTGTCTAGACTTTGATGTTTGTCTTTGGTCGTGCTTTGTTAGAGGATTAGATAGGCTTTTTGTTGAATCATGGCGTTGTGTTGTCTGAAACTCTGAGGCGGATGGGAACTGTGTGCTGGAATAAGGCAAGATAGGCCTACAACACATGGCGCTGCCTGTTTCAATGGAAAACCCAAATCAAACCTGTTGGTTTTCAGTTAGTTTCTGTCATCCACATAGGTCAGCATTCCAGCAACATGAAAAATGCCTCTAAATGAGAGAGTGGTTGGTATGAAATCTAAGGGGAAAGAGAGGACTAAAGAGAGGGTAATGAAGTAGCAGGAAGTTAGGTAATGTTCCATGACAGGAAGTGTGGATTGTAGGGGTGGATTGGTTCAGCTATGAAATAGATAAAGGTCACCACGAGAACGAGTGAGAGAGAAAGAGAAAAAGAGAAATGCTAGTGAACAAGAAGGAATTCCCCCTCCTCAACTGCCATAGCCAAGAAACCAGAGAGAGGGGGAGAGTGTGTGTATGTGGGTGCAGACTTGTCTGGACAAGCACTTCCAAATGTGCTCCCCACTATTCTGCTAAATTGTTATATTACTTTACACACTATATAAGATTGCTTCATTATGGTTTAATTTGTATTCACACAGTGTTAGGTGTATAATTATATGTGATATACAGTTTAAGTTGGAAGTTTACATACACCTTAGCCAAATACATTTAAACTCAGTTTTTCACAATTCCTGACATTTAATCCTAGTAAAAATTCCCTGTCTTAGGTCAGTTAGAATCACCACTTTATTTTAAGAATGTGAAATGTCAGAATAATAGTAGAGAGAGATTTATTTCAGCTTTTATTTCTTTCATCACATTCCCAATTGGTCAGAAGTTTACATACACTCAATTAGTATTTGGTAGCATTGCCTTTCAATTGTTTAACTTTGGTCAAACGTTTCGGGTAGCCTTCCACAAGCTTCCCACAATAAGTTGGGTGAATTTTGGCCCATTCATCCTGACAGAGCTGGTGTACTGAGTCACACGCTTGTTCAGTTCTGCCCACACATTTTCTATAGGATTGAGGTCAGGGCTTTGTGATGGCCACTCCAATACCTTGACTTTGTTGTCCTTAAGCCATTTTGCCACAACTTTGGAAGTATGCTTGGGGTCATTGTCCATTTGGAAGCCCCATTTGCGACCAAGCTTTAACTTCCTGACTGATGTCTTGAGATGTTGCTTCAATACAATAAATTGTCTACAATTCATTTTGATTTTCCCATGATGTCAAGCAAAGAGGCACTGAGTTTGAAGGTAGGCCTTGAAATACATCCACAGGTACACCTCCAATTGACTCAAATTATGTCAATTAGCCTATCAGAAGCTTCTAAAGCCATGACATCATTTTCTGGAATTCCAAGCTGTTCAAAGGCACAGTCAACTTAGTGTATGTAAACTTCTGACCCACTGGAATTGTGATACAATGAATTATAAGTGAAATAATCTGTCTGTAAACAATTGTTGGAAAAATTACTTGTGTCATGCACAAAGTAGATGTCCTAACCGACTTGCCAAAACTATAGTTTGTTAACAAGACATTTGTGGAGTGGTTGAAAAACAAGTTTTAATGACTCCAACCTAAGTGTATGTTAACTTCCGACTTCAACTGTAGGCAACATTATGTAATGTACACATTATACACTGAGCGTACGAAAAAGTAGGAACACCTTCTTAATATTGAGTTGTACCCCCTTTTGCCCTCAGAACAGCCTCAATTCGTCGGGGCATGGACTCTACAAGGTGTCGAAAGCATTCCACAGGGATGCTGGCCCATGTTGACTCCAATTCTGGCCCATGTTGACACCACCCAAAGGACATCCAGTTGGCTGGATGTCCTTTGGGTGGTGGACCATTCTTGATACACACGGGAAACTGTTGGGCGTGAAAAACTCAGCAGCGTTGCAGTTCTTGACACACTCAAACCGATGCGCCTGGCACCTACTACCGTACCCTGTTCAAAGGCATTGAAATATTTTCTCTTGCCCATTCACCCGCTGAATGGCACACATACACAATTGTCTCAAGGCTTAAAAATCATTCTTTAACCTGTCTCCTCCCCTTCATCTACACTGATTGAAGTGGATTTAACAGGTGACATCAATAAGGGATCATAGCTTTCACTTGGATTCACCTGGTCAGTCTATGTCATGGACAGAGTAGGTTTTCCTAATGTATATTCATGTGAAATTATTTTGTAATAAAATGGTAATACCCATTACTTCTTGAGTTGAATTATATATCATTCCTATCAATAATAAATGCATTACCAAGGACTCAAACTATATGGTTTTATAGAATAGGCTTGTATTTGAAATTATTTTGAAAAACTGGGCCCAGTTTTGCTTTGACAACCACTTCACCCCACCGCTACCTTGTCCGGTGAATAGGCTTTGTATAATGTCACAATGCATTCAAACATGAATAATCCAGCCCTTGTTACGTTCTGCTCTGTTTCAGGGTCTGGAATAAGGTGGAAAGAGCTGGAGAAACAGAAAGAGGAAAGGACGTGATGAGAAAGAGAGTGGCTAGAAGAGCAGGGAAGTAGAGGGAGGAGAGAGGAACAAATATTCTGGATTCTGGAAAAATAAGCCACTGTAAATAGTAAAGAACTCCAATGCAGAGATGAAGCCGATTAAAAAGCAAGGAAGGCGCCTGCCCCCGTCGACCCGGGCCAAAGGGGGGAAGAGACGGGGGGCGGGGGACAATGGGGAGAAAAGAGACTCGGACGAGAACAAAGATAGGTCCCCCAAAAGTCAGACCTCACCCCAAACCTCATCTCACTCAGAGTCTTCTCAGGAGGAGTCGGTGACACTCAAGGCGAGGGCCACGCCAGAGAGGGATGACCACAGAGAGGGGCCCCGGCTCCCAGAGACAGCGGCCGCAGCAGCAGGGTCCCTCCCTGGGAAGTTGGAGGACTCCCACCCAGGGAGCGTCAAGTCGCTGAGCACCCACAGCACAGACAGCAGCAGCAGCACCGCCAGTGCTGCCAACAGCCCCAACCCCTCGTCTAACCGCAAGACGGCCACCTTCAAGGCCCGCGTCCCCAAGAAGAAGTACACCTCTGAGCACTGTGCTGCCGCCGCTGCCGCCGCCAACCACGGCAACCCCGGCACGCCTCCACTGAGCAGCAATAGTGCTCACTGTGGCAGTAACACCGGAAGTCAGTCGTCGGGCTTCTCTTCGGCAGCGAGTGAGGGCGGTTCGCTCACTGACATCAACAGTCAGATCAGGAGACCAGCGGAGGACTACACTACCACTATAGCTCCATCACAGGACAGGGACAGCACACCTGGACCCCCTCCCATAGGAGACAGAGATAGGAGAGTCCCAGAGGGAGGCAGAGAAATCTCCCCCAGCCCTGTCCGCTGCTCTTCTACAGACACAGCCAGCGAACACGACCTGGATGTGAGCGAGCCACACCGCTCCAACTCTCACCACACCAATCCCACCACCGAAGCACACACCCTAGCCCTGGTGCAATGTAGCACCCCACACACTCCGACCCCACAGAGCCTGTCGGACGCGCTAGCTGACGCCCTGGCCAAAGGTTTAAAAAACCAGCGGGTGCTAGCCAGGCAGGCTAGGAGAAGGAGTGGAAAAGAGGAAGAGGAGAACGGAGGAGGGGGGAGGGAGAGCATGGACTCAGTGTTCCGAGCGGGTGTGGTGCGGAGGGTGAGCGGCGAGCATGGTAGCCTGGAGGTGCAGCTGAACGGCGAGAAGGAGCTGTACCGGTACCCGTTCCGTGAGGGTGCCCAGGGGCCAGTGGACATCATCATGGATGCCCCGCCGCCTGGCTCCCAGGCCGTGCCCATCGGCACCCCTGTGTGCGTGCCCTTCGGAGGTAACGAGGACAGCGGCACCACAGAGGCCCAGCGCCAGTGGTACCGAGAGGGCCTGGTAACCCAGGTGGACACCCACCCGGCTGTGTCCTACCCCTATAGAGTGTTGTTGGAGGATAGAGCGCCGCCAGGGGATGAGGAGGGGGATGGCAGTGTGGGCACTCCGACGGCTGTGTGGGTGTCCCGTCAGAGCCTCCGCCTGCTGGTGCCCCCCTGGGACCTCGACCTGGGACCCTCCGGAGGGGGGCGAGAGGAAAGCAATGCCGCCGCCGAGAGAGGGAGAGAGAGGGAGAGAGAGAGAGAGGACAGGGACGAGATAGAGGTGGAGCAGGAGCTGTGTCGACTCAGCCATGGGATGGGGCTCAGCGCGACTGTGACTGGGTCCGTGTTGGGGAGGCTTTCATACCCTGGAACGGCCCCCGCCTCCTCATCTTCCTCTACTGTCAGCTCCCCCGTTACCCCTGCCTCGGTGCTGAGTCTGGTGCCCGGAAGAGAATGGGAGCGAGAGAAGGACCTGATGGAGAGAGAGAGGGAGATCAAGAGGAAACAAGAGAGAGATAACCGAGAGAGGGCCAAACAGCACCACCACTTCATGCCCCTGACCCCTGAGGAGGACATAGAGGTGTCCAACTTCAGCATGGTGCCCATGGGGGCAGCGGGGGGGGAGGTCAAGGCCCTGGCGGTGTCCCAGCACAGGCACATACTCTCCAAGCCGCCCCCTGGCTACCCTAGCCCCCACCTGTCCGTGGTCCGGGGCCTCGGAGGCACTCCGCTGGTGGGCCCCCACCTGGCCCTCAACCACCACCCCCCTCCCTCCCCCACGGTGCTACTGGGCCTGGAGTCGGGAACGCTGGCAGTTGGGGGCGGCCGTCATCGCCACCCCTCAGCTGCCCCCTCTGCCCCCCTTGTCCCTCCTCGTCCTCCCGCGGCTCCCTGGATAAGCCGCCCTCTTCAAACTCCAGCTCCCACGGTGCATCTGGAGGAGGTGGAGGCTCGTGCTCGGGTTCGGCGTCCTCATCGCGCTCCCGCACCCCGCTCACGGCAGCCCAGCAGAAGTACAAGAAGGGCGACGTGGTGTGTACCCCCACAGGCATCCGCAAGAAGTTCAACGGCAAGCAGTGGAGGAGGCTGTGCTCCAGAGAGGGCTGCTCTAAGGAGTCCCAGAGAAGAGGCTACTGCTCGCGTCATCTCTCCATGAGAACTAAAGAGATGGAGGCCAGCGGAGGGGGCAGAGAACGTGGCGGGGCCAGCAGTACGGGCACCCTAACCCCGTCAGACCTGAGACTGGGCGGCGGCCGGACCAGTTCGGAGTTCGACTGGGACAACACGTCGCGAGACAGCAGCGAAGCGAGCAGTAGGGGAGGGGATTCACGCCCCCGCCTGGTCCTGCCCTCGCTCCTGCCCCAGGACTTATCACGCTTCGACTTTGATGAGTGCGAGGCGGCCACCATGCTGGTGTCTCTGGGCAGCTCCCGCTCGGGCACGCCCTCCTTCTCTCCCATCTCCAACCAGTCGCCCTTCTCGCCCACGCCGTCGCCCTCGCCTTCCCCGCTTTTCGTCTTCCGCCCGGCCACCTTCAGCCCCATCACGGCGCCGCCTTCGCTCACCCCTCGCCGCCACCGTCACCTGAGCGGCACTAAGATTGGCACGCCGGGCTCGGAGCGTGAACGCCACCTGTCGGGCATCGTACCCACCTTCCAGACCAACCTCACCTTCACCGTGCCCATGAGCCCCAGCAAGCGGAAACTTGATGCCCTTCCTCCGCCCCTGCCCCTCTCTGCCCAGGATTACGCTAAGCCCGACCAGCAGTTAGGGGAGACTATAGGCCTCAGCCCAGCTGCCTTCAGGGTGCTCTCTCCTCAGAGCCAGCCCACCACTCCCTCCTCCCTCTCCTTCCCCCGGCCACGGAGCGCCACCAGCCGCCCCCCGTCCTCCGCCGCCTCCACCCCCCCACCCATGCTGGTGTCCCCCACCCCTCCCTCCCCCCTGCCCCAGGACCCCAGCCCCCGCCGCATTGTGCCCCTGCGAGACTCCCCTGTCATCGTGCGGAACCCCGACGTCCCCCTGGCCAAGTTCACAGATGGACCCCTGGGGAGGAGGGGAGGAGGGGGCCGCTCCTCCAGAGAGCACATCCAGCCCCTGCACCTTGCCACCGGCCTCCAAGCACCCGTGCCCATCAACGGCGCCGCCACCAATGGAGCAGTCCTCCTGCGAAACCCCGCCTCCACCCTGGTCCTTGTAACCTCCTCCCAGTCCCTGATCCCAGCCGTCGCCGGACGCCCTGCTCACTCCAGCCCAGCCCTCAGTGGTGGCTCCGCCTCCATCTCCTCTACTGGCTCCGCCCTCTCCAGCTCTGGATCAGGCGGTAGGGAGTGGGAGAGGAAGCCCGGCGGGCACCAGGACGCCATTGGAGGGGCACTGCCCCAGCCGGTAGCCTGCCACCCCTCGCCAACCGCCCTGCTGCCACTTATCCTACCAGCCGAGTCCCCTCACCCTGCACCCCGCAAGGACATCATCATTGGACGGCCCGGGACAGGTAAGACAACAATCATTATAGGGGTGTATAGGGTTTAGTATATAGGGGTTAGTATATAGGGGTTAGTATGTAGGGGTGTATAGGGGTTAGTATGTAGGGCTGAATAGGGGTTAATATATAGGGGTTAGTATATAGGGGTGTATATAGGGGTTAGTCTATAGGGGTTAGTATATAGTGGTTAGTATATAGGGGTGTATAGGGGTTAGTATATAGGGGTTAGTATATAGAGGTGTATAGGGGTTAGAATATAGACGTGTATAGGGGTTAGTATATAGAGGTATATAGGGGTAGGTGTATAGGGGTGTATAGGGGTTAGTATATAGAGGTGTATGGGGTTAGTATATAGAGGTATATAGGGGTAGGTATATAGGGGTGTATAGGGGTTAGTATATAGAGGTGTATGGGGTTAGTACAGTGCATACAGAAAGTATTCAGACCCCTTGACTTTTTCCACGTTTTGTTACGTTACAGCCTTATTAAAAAATCGATGAAATTGTTTATTTTCCTCATCAATCTACGCACAATACCCCATAATGACAAAGCAAAAACAGTTTTTTTGATTTTTTAAAGAAAAAATACATTTACATACAGTTACAGTCGAAAGTTTACATACACTTAGGTTAGAGTCATTAAAACTTGTTTTTCAACCACTCCACAAATTTCTTGTTAACAAACTATTGTTTTGGCAAGTCGGTTAGGACATCAAGTAATTTTTCCAACAATTGTTTACAGACAGATTATTTCACTTATAATTCACTGTATCACAATTCCAGTGGGTCAGAAGTTTACATACACTAAGTTGACTGTGCCTTTAAACAGTTTGGAAAATTCCAGAAAATGATGTCATGGCTTTAGAAGCTTCTGAAAGGCTAATTGACATAATTTGAGTCAATTGGAGGTGTACCTGTGGATGTATTTCAAGGCCTACCTTCAAACTCAGTGCCTCTTTGCTTGACATCATGGGAAAATCAAAATAATTCAGCCAAGACCTCAGATTTTTTTTTTGTAGAACTCCACAAGTCTGGTTCATCCTTTGGAGCAATTTCCAAACGCCTGAAGGTACCACTTTCATCTGTACAAACAATAGTACGCAAGTATAAACACCACAGGACCACGCAGCCGTCATACCACTCAGGAAGTAGACGCGTTCTGTCTCCTAGAGATGAACGTACTTTGGTGCGAAAAGTGCAAATCAGTCCCAGAACAACAGCAAAGGACCTTGTGAAGATGCTGGAGGAAACAGGTACAAAAGTATCTATATCCACAGTAAAACGAGTCCTATATCAACATAACCTGAAAGGCCACTCAGCAAGGAAGAAGCCACTGCTCCAAAACCGCCATAAAAAACCCAGACTACGGTTTGCAACTGCACATGGGGACAAAGATTGTACTTTTTGGAGAAATGTCCTCTTGTCTGATGAAACAAAAATAGAACTGTTTGGCCATAATGACCATCGTTATGTTTGGAGGAAAAAGGGGAATGCTTGCAAACCGAAGAACACCATACCATCTGTGAAGCACAGGGTGGCAGCATCATGCTGTGGGGGTGCTTTGCTGCAGGAGGTACTGGTGCATTTCACAAAATAGATGGCATCATGAGGAAGGAAAATTATGTGGATATATTGAAGCAACATCTCAAGACATCAGTCAAGTTAAAGCTTGGTCGCAAATGGGTCTTCCAAATGGACAATGACCCCAAGCATACTTCCAAGGTTGTGCCAAAATTGCTTAAGGACAACAAAGTCAAGGTATTGGAGTGGCCATCACAAAGCCCTGACCTCAATCCTATAGAAAATGTGTGGGCAGAACTGAAAAAGCGGGTGCGCGCAATGAGGCCTACAAACCTGACTCAGTTACACCAGCTCTGTCAGGAGGAATGGGCCAAAATTCACGCAACTTATTGTGGGAAGCTTGTGGAAGGCTACCCGAAACGTTTGACCCAAGTTAAACAATTTGAAGGCAATGCTATCAAATACTAATTGAGTGTATGTAAACTTCTGACCCACTGGGAATGTGATGAAAGAAATAAAAGCTGAAATAAATCATTCTCTCTACTATTATTCTGACATTTCACATTCTTAAAATAAAGTGGTGATCCTAACTGATCTAAGACAGGGAAACTGAGTTTAAATGTATTTGTCTAAGATGTATGTAAACTTCCGACTTCAACTTTAAGTATTCAGACCCTTTACTCAGTACTTTGTTGAAGCAGCTTTGGCAGCGATTACAGCCTTGAGTCTTCTTGGGTATGACGCTACAAGCTTTGCACACCCGTATTTGGGGAGTTTCTCCCATTCTTCTCTGCAGATCCTCTCAAGCTCTGTCAGGTTGGATGGGGAGTGTCGCTGCACAGCTATTTTCAGGTCTCTCCAGAGATGTTAGATCAGGTTAAAGTCCGGGCTGTGGCTGGGCCACTCAAGGACATTCAGAGACTTGTCCCGAAGCCACTCCTGCGTTGTCTTGGCTGTGTGATTAGGGTCGGTGTCCTGTTGGAAGGTGAACCTTCGCCTTTGTCTGAGGTCCTGAGCGCTCTGGAGCAGGTTTTCATCAAGGATCTCTCTGTACTTTGCTCCGTTCATCTTTCCCTCGATCCTGACTAGTCTCCCAGTCCCTGCCACTGAAAAAGATCCCCACATCATTGTGCTGCCATCACCATGCTTCACCGTAGGGTGGTGCCAGGTTTCCTCCAGACGTGATGCTTGGCATTCAGGCCAAAGAATTCAATCTTGGTTTCATCAGACCAGAGCATCTTGTTTCTCATGGTCTGAGAGTCTTTTAGGTGCCTTTTGGCAAACTCCAAGCGGGCAGTTATGTGCCTTTTACTGAGGAGTGGCTTCCATCTGGCCACTCTACCATAATGGCCTGATTGGTGGAGTGCTGCAGAGATGGTTGTCCTTCTGGAAGGTTCTCCCATCTCCACAGAGGAACTCTGGAGCTCTGTCAGAGTGACCATCACATTATTGGTCACCTCCCTAACCAAGGCCCTTCTACCCCGATTGCTCAGTTTGGCCGGGCGGCCAGCTCTAAGTAGAGTCTTGGTGGTTCCAAACTTCTTCCATTTAAGAATGATGGAGGACCACTGTTTTCTTGGGGACCTTCAATGCTGCAGAATTTTTTTGTCAACTGTGGGACCTTATATAGACAGGTGTGTGCCTTTCCAAATCATGTCCAATCAATTGAATTTACCACAGATGGACTCCAATCAAGTTGCAGAAATATCTCAAGGATGATCAATAGAAACAGGATGCACCTGAGCTCAATTTCGAGTCTCATAGCAAAGGGTCTGAATACTTATGTAAATTAGGTATTTCAGTTTTTTTTTAATTCTTAATACATTTGCAAACATTTCTAAAAACCTGTTTTCACTTTGTCATTATGTTGTATTGTGTGTGGATTGATGAGGGGAAAAAATATTTTATCAATTTTAGAATAAGGCTGTAACGTAACAAAATGTAGAAAAAGTCAAAGGGTCTGAATGCTTTCTGAATTCACTGTATATAGAGGTGTATGGGGTTAGTATATAGGGGTGTTTAGGGGTTAGTATATAGAGCTGTATAGGGGTTAGTATATAGAGGTGTATAGGGATTAGTATATGGGGGTATATAGGGGTTAATATATAGAGGCTTACGTGGTTAGTATATAGGGGTGTATGGGGTTAGTATATAGGGGTGTATGGGGTTAGTATATAGGGTGTATAGGGGTTAGTATATAGGGGTGTATAGGGGTTAGTATATAGGGGTGTAGGGTGTATATAGGGGTTAGTATAGGTGTTGGGGTGTATAGGGGTGTAGGGTTCGTATGGGTGTTCGTTAGGGGTTTCGTTTCTAGGGTAGTCTTAGTGGGGTTAGTATATAGGGGTGTATGGGTTAGTATATACGTGTAGGGTTGTCATAGGGGTGTTAGGGTTCGTTATAGGTGGTTATATAGGGGTTAGTATATAGGGGTGTATGGGGTTAGTTTATAGAGGTGTATAGGGATTAGTGTATAGGGGTTCGTATATAGAGGTGTATAGGGGTTAGTATATAGAGGTGTATGGGGTTAGTATATAGGGGTTATTATATAGGGTGTATAGGGGTTAGTATATAGAGGTGTATAGGGGTTAGTATATAGAGGTGTATGGGGTTAGTATATGGGGTTTTATTAGGGTGTATCGGGGTTCGTCTCTCGAGGTGTCTGGGGTTCGTCTCATCGGGTGTACTGGGGTTCGTCTATAGGGGTTGTCTTTATAGGGTGTATGGGAGGGGTTCTGTACTCATCAGAGGTGTCATGGGAGTTATTATTGAGGTGTATGGGTTCAGTATCATATTTGGGTTGTTTGACGGTGTGGCTTCAGTCTCCATAAGGTTGTCATTGGGTTGATCTGGGACTGCGGCTGGACAGACATCATAGTAACATACATCAGTGATAAGGGAAATGGGAAGAGTTATTATTGCAGGTATGCGACACCATTCTTCCACAATAAATTCCATCATTTGGTGTTTTGTTGACGGTGGTGGAAAACGTTCCAGAATCTCCCATAAGTGTTCAATTGGGTTTAGATCTGGTGACTGAGACGGCCATGGCATATGGTTTACATCGTTTTCATGCTCATCAAACCATTCAGTGACCACTCGTGCCCTGTGGATGGGGGCATTGTCATCCTGGAAGAGAGTGAGACCACTCCCATCGGGATAGAAATGATTCACCACAGGTTGAAGGTGATCACTCAGAATGGCTGTGTATTTATTGGCGTTTACCTTGCCCTCTAAGGGGTTGAGTGGATCTAAACCATGCCAGGAAAATGCACCCCACACCAATAACAGAGACGTCAGAACCCTCATTTACTCAAGTGTTTTCTTTATTTTGGCAGTTACCTGTGTGTAAAAATGAGTGACTTCAGTGACAAGAAATGTACATTTGAGTGTGGTGAAATTGGTTCAACATGGCTGCAAGAATGCTGTGTCAGGCATAAGGTAGTAGGCAGACAAATATAATGTTTGTGGTTCAGTCGTTCTGGTATGTCTTTCATAATGTTTGTACTGGTGTGGCTCAGTGTGTGTGTGGTGTAGTTTGGTGTGGGGATGGGTGGGGGTCAACGAGTGTGTGAGAAGGGGTGTTGGTCTGTGTGCTTCAGTTTCAGTTAAACTTTTAAAAGGACTTGTCTAGACATGCAAGGCTGCTGAGCACAGGGAGGACACTCACACACAGTTCTTAATATAGCAGACAATACACAACCTTGGGCAGAGCACCAAGGGCATGTTTTTTTTTGATCCCACTGAACTGAAAAGGAGTAATGGTATTTCAGTGTTGTCATGGATACTTTGTCTCTGGATAGAAATAGTGCAGTTAAGTGTAGAGCTCTTTCTGCTTATTGGATTGTGCTTCTCTCCTCTATTCTATCAGTTATTCTCTATGGGGGCGAATCCTAACTTCCACTTCAAATCTTCACTTAGTCCCGTTGAAGTCAATGGGAGATGAACGGTTAAAGCTAGCCCGTCTAGACCAGTAGTCTCAATTTGTGTGAAATAACAAGCTCCCCCATGACCCTCCCACATGTCATGAGATTATCTGAGGAGCTGTCGCAAGTTTAAGTTCAAACACTTCTGAGAAGAAACCCCTCTATCCTGGAAACACAACTCATGTACAGTATCTCACCTGACCAACATCAAATCAAATGTTATTTGTCACATGCTTCATAAACAACAGGTGTAGACTAACAGTGAAATGCTTACTTACGGGCTCTTCCCAACAATACAGAGAAAAAAATAGAAATAATAGAAAAATAATAACAATGAATAAATACACAATAAGTAACGATAACTTGGCTATATACACAGGGTACCAGTACCGAGTAGATGTGCAGGGGTATGAGATAATTGAGGTAGATACACTATATATACAAATTTATGTGGACACCCCTTCAAATTAATAGATTCGGCTATTTCAGCCACACCCGTTGCTGACAGGTGTATAAAATCGAGCACAACGCCATGCAATCTCCATAGACAAACATTGGCAGTAGAATGGCCTTACTGAAGAGCTCAGTGACTTTCAACGTGGCACCGTCATAGGATGCCACCTTTACAACAAGTCAGTTTGTCAAATTTCTTCCCTGCTAGAGCTGCTCCGGTCAACTGCCCCGGTCAACAATGGCTCAGCCGCGAAGTGGAAGGCCACTGGAAGCAACGTCAGCACAAGAACTGTTCGTCGGGAGCTTCATGAAATGGGTTTCCATGGCCGATCAGCCACACACAAGCCTAAGATCACCATGCGCAAATGCCAAGTGTTGGCTGGAGTGGTGTTTAGCTCGCCGCCATTGGACTTTGGAGAAGTGGAAACGCGTTCTTTGGAGTGATGAATCACCCTTCACCATCTGGCAGTCCGACGGACTAATCTGGGTTTGATGCCAGGAGAACGCTACCTGCCCCAATGCATAGTGCCAACTGTAAAGTTTGGTGGAGGAGGAATAATGGTCTGGGGCTGTTTTTTCATGGTTCGGGCTAGGCCCCTTAGTTCCAGTGAAGGGAAATCTTAACGCTACAGCATACAATGACATTCTAGCCGATTCTGTGCTTCCAACTTTGTGGAAAAAGTTTGGGGAAGGCCCTCTCCTTTTTCAGCATGACAATGCCCCCGTGCACAAAGTGAGGTCCAAATAGAAAGGGTTTGCCGAGATCGGTGTGGAAGAACTTGACTGGCCTGCACAGAGCCCTGACCTCATCCCATCGAACACCTTTGCGATGAATTGGAACACAGACTGCGAGCCAGGGCTAATCGCCCAACATCAGTGCCCGACCTCACTAATGCGCTTGTGACTGAATGGAAGCAAGTCCTCGCAGCAATGTTCCAAAATCTAGTGGAAAGCCTTCCCAGAAGAGCGGAGGCTGTTATAGCAGCAAAGGGGGGACCAACTCCATATTAATGCCCATGATTTTGGAATGAGATGTTCGATGAGCACGTGTCCACATACTTTTGGTTATGTAGTGTATGTGCATATAACTAGGAATAAAGTGACAGATAATAAACAGTAGCAGCAGCGTATTTGATGAGTTAGTGCAAAAAAGGGTCAATGCAGATAGTCCGGGTAGTTATTTGGTTAACAATTTAACTAACTATTTAGCAGTCTTATGGCTTGGGGGTAGAAGCTGTTCAGGGTCCTGTTGCTTCCAGACTTGGGGCATCAGTACCGCTTGCCATGCTGTAGCAGAGAGAACAGTCTATGACTTGGGTGGCTGGAGTCTTTTACAATTTGCAGGGCCTTCCTCTGACACCGCCTTGTAAAGAGGTCCTGGATGGCAGGAAGCTCGGCCCCAGTGATGTACTGGGCTGTACGCACTACCCTCTGTAGCACCTTTAAGGTCGGATGCCAATCAGTTGCCATACCAAGTGGTGATGCAGCCAGTCAAGATGCTCTCAATGGTGCAGCTGTAAAACTTTTGAGGATCTCAGGTCCCATGCCGAATCTTTTCAGCCTCCTGAGGGGGGCATTGTCGTACCCTCTTCATGACTGTGTTGGTCTGTGTGGACCATGATAGATCCTTAGTGATATGGACACTCAAGGGTCACTTGAAAAAATGTCAGGGGATCAATCTCAATGTGACTCAAAAATCTTAAGAAGCTGCAATGTGTAAAACCCCATATTAGTATACGTTGTTCTTGACCAACTAGGTTGTCATTGTAAAATATAATTTGTTCTCAATTATATACTTGGCTAAATATCTGAAATAATTGAAGCATATTATATACTAAGCAAGACCTGTGTTGCTTTTCCAATAAGACTCTATATATTAGTGTTCCCTTTGACTGTTTGACTGTATTACTGTTAACCAGTGCACTCTTAGAAGAAAAGGTGCTATCCAGAACCTAAAAGGGTTCTTCGGCTGTCCCCATAGGAGAACCCTTTGGAGAACCCTTTTTTGGTTCCAGGTAGAACCCTTTTGAGTTCCCTGTGGAACCCTTTACACAGAGGGTTCTACATGGAACCCAAAAGAGTTCTACCTGTAACCAAAAAGGGTTCTCGAATGGGGACAGCCGAAGAACCCTTTTGGAACCCTTTTTTCCTAAAAGAGTGTGTTTTCCAAAATGGTGGGTCAATTCCCAATGGGGCTGAGAGGGTCACGACTAAAGACTGTGCTCAGACAGGAAATATTTTGTTTTTCTTAAGGGTCACAAGAGAATTCAAATGGCGGAGAATTCAGTATAGTCATGCCGTCACTGCACAAATACGTTTGGGACTTAAAATAAATCACCAACTATTCTTAATATTTTCCTTTCGAATCTGCCTTTTCCTCCCACAGTATGGACCAATGTGGAGCCCCGGTCAGTGCCAGTGTTTCCTTGGCATTCATTGGTCCCTTTCCTGGAGCCTAGCCAATCGAGTACGGCTGCCCAGCCCGCTGATGGCCAACAGCTTGTCAATCAGAGCAAAGGTGAGGATTTGTTCAACACTTCACTTATGTGTTGAATAAATAGGCCTATTCTAGTCAGGTTGCATACACAACTCATGTGTTGTACTTACTTCTTTTGTAAAGATAGTTATGGAGAAAAGTTCAGTATACCATATTGCATTTTTCACTGTTTACTGCATCACTTCATAAATAAATAACTGTTAAATAACTGAACTAATATCAATAATTCTCAGTACAAAAAAAACAAAAAAATATTTATGTTGGTGAAATTCAACCTGCCTGTTTTTGCAATTACGTTGAGATTTAGTAACATGGGTTACATTGAGTTGATTATTGAGTCCAATAATCATAATTTCTCTATTAAACCATTTTAGCTACTTAATGTAAGGGATAATCAACAAGGGGCTATGCGTTCTCTGGAAAGAATGCACGGCGCAGAAGGTGGGTGCCACGACACGGAGCAGAGTGATAATAAACCACCAGCATCCACCAACTAACTCCCTTCTCTCTTGTCTCAGAGCCTCGTTGCGGGGTGGCCCTAGTGAGTGACGGATGGGTGGGTCCACCAGACGCAGAGCGAGGGTCTCCATCCTGCCCACCACCCTCCTCCAATGACAACAACCCCCCAGCTGAAAGAGTAGAAAGAGGTGGAGCCGACAGCGAGACAGAGAGCGATGCAGACGACCCGTACGTTTTTTATAGGTTGTTTAATGGTCATTCGAAAGTGTGTCAACTGTTGTATTGCAGGTGACACACTACGAGTGTGTGGTAAAAGGAAATAATGTTGTCTGTAATCTTTGACAGCCCCACTTTGGCTTTCAAGAACATTCCATCACAAAGGCTTGGATTGCAGTAGGAACCAGGAAAGACCAGTTCTCTTTCAATTGCCCTGGTTTCATTGATTGTTGAATCCACTTAGTTTGATGGAGAGACCTACATAGAGAAAATGTCATAGTTGTGTTTGTACACAGTAGAATGTACCACTTAAAACCACAAAACGGACTTAGAAATTAAGTGATGAAGAAGGATAAATTCTTATTTACAATGACGGCCTACCCCAGCCAAACCCGGACGATGCTGGGCAAATTGTGCGCCGCCAATTGAAGAAGATTGGAAAACCTGCCCTTTTTGCTCATACACATTCACACATTATTACATGTTTCTGATTGGCAGGCCATAATCATTAAGTTTCTGATTGGCATGCCATATTCACATTGAGTTTCTGATTGGCAGGCCATAATCATATTGAGTTTCTGATTGGCAGGTTTTTTCCGGGTGTAGCCAATGATCCTGCCCCATCTACGGGCCCTATCAAGAGGCGCACTCAGTCCCTCAGTGCCCTTCCCAAAGATGGAGAAAGAAAGGTGAGCTCTCTGCTTGTCTGTCTCTGGCTTCTATTTTCTTATCTGTGTCTCTCAGTCTAATATCTCCCAGTCACATACAGTATGTGTCCCTCTCTCTGTGTGCTATTAGCTCAAACTAGAAATTGCCATTATCTACAGATCGAGGATCAGATTACCTGACCCCCAATCCCAATCTTACCATTAGGGGGATAAAAAATATCTTACCCTGTATCAGTGATTAGGGGCAAATTCGACCTACTCCTTGTGGCTCATCCCTTCCATGCACCCTCTTACCACATCTCTCTCTCTCAGAGGGAAAAGGACCACATTCGGCGGCCAATGAACGCGTTCATGATCTTCAGCAAGCGTCACCGGGCGCTGGTGCACCAGAGGCACCCCAACCAGGACAACCGCACGGTCAGCAAAATCCTGGGCGAGTGGTGGTACGCCCTGGGGCCCAAAGAGAAGCAGAAGTACCACGATCTTGCCTTCCAGGTACATACCAATGATGTATATAAACCCTGGATGACTGACAGGGGGCGCTGTATTGAAGCCACCGTGCAGCCATCTTGGTACTCCTCCACCATTGTGAAAAACGATTTTGAAAGCTATAGAAATGCATTTATTAATGTCTACATTAATTTTCTATTACAGACACCTATATGCAAATTCAATTATGTTATCTAAACATAAAAAAAATAATATATACAGTACCAGTCAAAAGTTTGGACACACCTACTCATTCCAGGGTTTTTCTTTATTTTTACTATTTTCTACATTGTAGAATAATAGTGAAGACATCAAAACGATGAAATAACACATATGGAATCATGTAGTAACCAAAAAAGTGTTAAACAAATCAAAATATATTTTATATTTGAGATTCTTCAAATAGCCACCTTTTGCCTTGATGACAGCTTTGCACGCTCTTGGCATTCTCTCAACCAGCTTCATGAGGTAGTCACCTGGAATGCATTTCAATTAACAGGTGTGCCTTGTTAAAAGGTAATTTGTGGAATTTCATTCCTTCTTAATGCGTTTGAGCCAATCAGTTGTGTTGTGACAAGGTAGGGTGGTATACAGAAGATAGCCCTATTTGGTAAAAGGCCAAGTCCATATTATGGCAAGAACAGCTCAAATAAGCAAAGAGAAATGACAGTCCATCATTACTTCAAGACATGAAGGTCAGTCAATCCGGAAAATTTCAAGAACTTTGAAAGTTTCTTCAAGTGCAGTCGCAAAAACCATCAAGCACTATGATGAAACTGGCTCTCATGAGGATCGCCACAGGAAAGGAAGACCCAGAGTTACCTCTGCTGCAGAGGATAAGTTCATTAGAGTTAACTGCACCTCAGATTGTAGACCAAATAAATTCACAGAGTTCAAGTAACAGACACATCTCAACATCAACTGTTTTTTTTTTTTCAACTGTTCAGAGGAGACTGTGTGAATCAGGCCTTCATGGTCGAATTGCTGCAAATAAACCACTACTAAAGGACACCAATAATAAGAAGAGACTTTCTTGGGCCAAGAAACACGAGCAATGGACATTAGACCGGTGGAAGTCTGTCCTTTGGTCTGATGAGTCCAAATTTGAGATTTTTGGTTCCAACCGCCGTGTCTTTGTGAGACAAAGAGTAGGTGAACGGATGATCTCTGCATGTGTGGTTCCCACCGTGAAGCATGGAGGAGGAGGTGTTATGGTGTGGGGGTGCTTTGCTGGTGACACTGTCTGTGATTTATTTAGAATTCAAGGCACACTTAACCAGCATGGCTACCACAGCATTCTGCAGCGATACGCCATCCTATCTGGTTTGCGCTTAGTGGGACTATAATTTGTTTTTCAACAGGACAATGACCCAACACACCTCCAGGCTGTGTAAGGGCTATTTGACCAAGAAGGAGAGTGATGGAGTGCTGCATCAGATGACCTGGCCTCCGCACTCCCCCGACCTCAACCCAGTTGAAATGGTTTGGGATGAGTTGGACTGCAGAGTGAAGGAAAAGCATCCAACAAGTGCTCAGCATATGTGGGAACTCCTTCAAGACTGTTGGAAAAGCATTCCAGGCGAAGCTGGTTGAGAGAATGCCAATAGTGTGCAAATCTGTCATCAAGGCAAAGGGTGGTTACTTTCAAGAATATCAAATATATTTGGATTTGTTTTAAAAAAAAATGGTTACTACATGATTCCATATGTGTTATTTCATAGTTTTGATGTCTTCACTATTATTCTACAATGTAGAAAATAGTAAAAATAAAGAAAAACTCTTGAATGAGTAGGTGTCCAAACTTTTGACTGGTACTGTGTATATATAACTACATTTTCCTTAAAGTAAAATTTTGGGGGAGAGTACTAATGTTACTGTCCCCACTACAGCAAAAGAAATACTTAAATACATGTAATTTTGTCCTTGAAACATTTAATTGAAATACTGTAAAATTCCATTCATTCCTATGGAGGACTGCTCCTATTGGGGAGTGCCAATATGGCCGACCGGCGGCTTCAAAGCCTCTCAATGGCCAATACATAGCATCAGCAATCCAGGGTTTATACACATCATTGGTACATACACCATACAGCACAAACAGCTTTGGGACCAGGCTGTAATAATGATGTTAATATCAATAGATTGTATTGTTTATTGTGCCTTTCAAAACACCCAAGGACTCTAAACCAGAGAATAGAATATTCTGTTTTCTTTCCATCCTTCCTTCTATCCTTTTCATGTTATGACTCTGTGTCTGACTCCATTTTCTCTCCCTCCCCCTCTCTCTCCCAGGTGAAAGAGGCTCACTTCAAGGCCCACCCAGACTGGAAGTGGTGCAACAAGGACAGGAGGAAGTCTATCTCTGAGGGCCGAGAGACCCCAGGGGCCAAAGAGACACGCGAGAGGAGCATGTCGGAGAGCACAGGTCAGAGAGTGCGTGTGTTAATGTGTGTGTGTGAGTCTTTTCACTATAGCTGTGTTTGCATTTGTGTGTGCTTATTTATCATCGTACATTTCTTACACTTTACTTACAGGAAAATGTACATAGTAATGAGAGCACTTTGATGAAAAGTGTTACCTACTTATTTGTATATTTCCGTGCTCCACTCCTCTGAGGGTGCGTGTGGGTGGGTTTGTTTTTTCCTGTGCTTGTACAAGCTATTTTTAATCTTCTTCGTTGTGTGTGATTGTGTGCTTGTATGAGTGTATTTACAATTTTGGTATGTCTTGTATACAATGTACTCTATTGACCTGTTTCCCGGACACTGGACTAAATGGCAAGCTCAATTGAAAATCTCCATTGAATGTGCTTTTTAGTCCAGGAGCATGCTTAATCTATGTCCGGGAAACCAGCCCTATTTAATGGGATTTTACTAAGACTCTTTCGCCTCCCTCCTCCACCGTAGAGCCTGAGTCAGGGTCTCAGGGCATGGAGGTGAAGGGTGCGGCAGGCCCGGACTGGCCTGGGGGCTCTGAGCGTTGTGTGGGGGCCAACAGTGGTCAGCTCCCTCGCCCCCGGGCCTTTTCTCAGAGTGCAGTACACAGCCTGGAGAGGAGGGAGCGGGCTAGAGATCTGGAGAAGGTACAGAGGACTGATATAGTTAGTGGCATCACTTTTTCTTCTGTTCTACCTGTTTTGTACGCAATTTCCCCCCCTTTTTGTCTTTTATTTTTTCTTATTTTTCTATCTTTCTTCTCTCTCTGTTTAGTAATAGTTATCCAGTAAAAGACTGCATTATATCTCAAAGCACTTAGCATAGTAAGAAGGGAACTCACTCACCTTCACCACCAATGTATAGCAACCACACCTAGGTGATCCACGGCGGCCATTTTGTGCCAAACCTTCTATCACAGTGGAGCTAACTTCTAGCTCTGTATTTCTCTTTCAGTTGTGTCGAGAAGGGGCAGGCTCATTCCGAAGCCGCCCCCCTACTCTCTCCCTGGCACAGTGTGGGGCCAGCGAGGACGTGACCAGCGACGAGGAGCGCATGGTCATCTGTGAGGAAGAGGGGGACGATGATGTCATGGGTGAGGTCACAGTCTTATTTAGTGTGGCTACCATAGAATTAGGAAGTAGAATTTAAAAAGTAAAAGCAGGAAATGCATCACCTATGCCTCTACCGCCATTCATTTCAATTAGACTGGTTTGGATTTCTCCCTGACCAAAATGGCTGCCATTATCATTCCATTCTGGAACTTTGAAGGTTAATGACATGGTGGCTACTCTGTGTGTCCACTGTCTCATTCGTTGAAATAGAATAGAGTAGATTCCCTATTCTATTTATATGGTCTTAATACTGTTCTATAGCTGTTCTAGGGCTTCTCAATGTCTTGCACATGTAGTCTATAGATGTTTTTTCTACAGTAACTATCCTAGAGACAGCTCCTATAGCTGCTATGTTGCTTGTCTGTCTCATATTCGTCCGTTTTTAATGGCACATTCACTGTTGTTTATTATTTCTATGTCTTTACTGTCCTATCATGTCTGATTGTACCTATTGTATCCTCTTCATTTCCAGAGGACTCGTGCCCTGAGGGATCCATAGACCTCAAGTGTAAAGAGAGAGTGACTGACAGTGACGAGGATGAGCCGGATGGACAGGTACCCTACCCGTTTAGCCATATAGCCTCTTAGCCTTTTGGACTGTAGGTGCTATTAACTTGTTAAAATTTAGATTTCATGGGTAATGGAACTGCCAAATGAAGTAGCATTGCCATACTGAATTTGAACAGATATCTAATAGATAGATATTCAATTGCCACTGTTTCCTCCCACCTATGCTAAGATGGTGTGAGTCTGATCTGTTTCATTCCCCCACCAGTTTAAATTCTACGTTGGTGCACTGAGAGACTTAATTCAGGAGGGACCATAGTTAACGTTTCTCGTTGATCTCTCCCCCTCCAGCGAGCCTTCCAGCCAGTGGTCCGCTCCTCTCTCCCCTATGCCACCAGCACCTCCCACCCTGACTCTCACTCCGACTCTACCAAGGGGAAAACAGGGGGGAGCACCGGAGAGAGCTCTGAGAGGAAGCGAAAGCGAGGGATGGAGGGAGGAGAAGAGGGAAGTGGAGAATCCAAAAGAGGAGGAGGAGGAGGGGGGCAGGTTCCCTCTAATTCCATCCCTGGATCGGCGCCCAACACCCCCGCTCTGGATTATGGACTCACCCAGGTGCTCGGTGCAGTCCGGATGGCCCCCACCATGGTGACCAACGTGGTATGCCCCATCGCCAGCATGCCCATCCCCATCACCAGCAAGCCAATGGAAGGCCCCATCGCCTTCAGTGCCCTCCCCGGGGAGAAGAAAGCCACGCTTCTGATTGGAGGACCGGGAGCAGGAGGCGGGCCTATCACAGCAGGGGGTGGGTACTTGTCCTCGTCCTCTCCCAATCCCGTGAGTGTGGGGCCGGGGGGGCTGCAGGTCACCAGTCTAGTGCTGGGAGGAGCTTTCCCCAACCAGTCTATACAGCTCATAGCCCCGCCTCAGCCTCTCTTAAGCCCCACCCACAGCACCCTGCCACTCCCCCTCCCCCTGCTGCAGCCCCAGTTCCTTCCTGCCGCCTCTCTCACCCCTGCTGGCGGTGCCAAGCCTGGCCTCACCCAGGTGCAGTACATCCTGCCCATCCTGTCTTCTGTCAGTGCCAACCCCAAGAGCCCCTCCCCCCAGCTAACCCAGCAGCCAACCGGCGTCCTCACGCTGCCCTCTACTCCACCCACCCATGTCTCCCTGGCCAATGGAATACATTCGGGGGCAGGAGCGGGAATAAGATATGCCGCAGTGGGAGGGGTCAGCCCTGGAGCAAGAGGTGAGAGAGAGGAGTGATTGGCTGACAGGGATGGAAAAGGGGAGGACCTATGGAAAAGGGGAGGGGACTTTGCTATATACAAGGGGATATGCTTACGACCATCCAAAATTCATAGGTCTAAGTGTTATTTTTTGGGAGAAATTAGTTGAATTCCCTTCAAACCCAGAATAAGTGTAACCTTCTATTTAGTCTCGCATATCCCTACTCTTTAATATTAACTGTCAGTGAGTACGTTTACATGCACACTAATAATTCGACATTAAACGGCAGTAGACAGATTATGCAATAGTCATGTAAACACCTTACTCTGTTTATCTTAATCGGCGTAAGGTCAAAATCGAAGTAAGCATACACCGATTAAAACACCTGGCTTTCTGAGCAATCTTTTGAATTATTAGGACATGTAAACACCTTAATCGACGTTCGAGCGGTGTATTTTATCTGTGCATGTGCTAGCACCAGCCGAGCGAGCCTCCCTCTTTAGTGTGAGTGAACAACTGAATGTATGCAAGGTAGTTTTCACGTACAAACGTTATATGTCCGAACTCAGAACCAAATTATTTGCTGTGGTAGAACATTTATTTTGATTGGCGATTTTCTGCATTTATCAGAGTGCCATCAGGTAGCCTGATTTCAGTGTGTCCATGTAAACAGGATTATTAGGGCAATCGTTCTTCTTGCAAAGCATGTAAATGTTTTAATCAAACTGCTATGTTAATCTAACTATCCACAATAATCGCATACTCGGTGAGAGATAGAATTCATCACCTTATGGTTGTCATTAGTTATCATGTCAAACCAGTCTTACCTCAACTGCTCTCTCTCCCTGTCTCTCTCTCTCTCTCTCTCTCTCTCTCTCTCTCTCTCTCTCTTTCTCTCACCAGTCCAAGCCCAGTCTCCAGTCTTACAGAGCAAGATGTTGGTTCCCATGGCAACAGTGAGAACAGGCTCTACTCCTCCTCAGCCCATCTCCCTCGTGGCCCCTCCCCTTCCTGTTCAAAATGGTGCTCTTCCAGGAAACAAGGTAGTGATTATTACACACAAGCATACCACATAACAGCAACTTGTAGACCTCTTTCCGAAAAAAGGCTTGAACATACTCATTCAAGGGTTTTTCTTTATTTTTACTATTTTCTACATTGTAGAATAATAGTGAAGACATCAGAACTATGAAATAACACATATGGAATCATGTAGTAACCAAAAAAGTGTTAAACAAATCAAAATATATTTTATATTTGAGATTCTTCAAATAGCCACCTTTTGCCTTGATGACAGCTTTGCACGCTCTTGGCATTCTCTCAACCAGCTTCACCTGGAATGCTTTTCCAACAGTCTTGAAGGAGTTCCCACATATGCTGAGCACTTGTTGGCTGCTTTTCCTTCACTTTGCAGTCCGACTCATCCCAAACCATCTCAATTTGGATGAGGTCAGGGGATTGTGGAGGCCAGGTCATCTGATGCAGCACTCCATCACTCTCCTTCTTAATCAAAGAGCCCTTACACAGCCTGGAGGTGTGTTGGGTCATTGTCCTGTTGAAAAACAAATGATAGTCCCACTAAGCCCAAACCAGATGGGATGGCGTATCGCTGCAGAATGCTGTGGTAGCCATGCTGGTTGTGTGCCTTGAATTCTAAATAAATCACAGACAGTGTTACCAGCAAAGCACCCCCACACCATAACACCTCCTCATCCATGCTTTACGGTGGGAACCACACATGCGGAGATCATCCGTTCACCCACACCGCGTCTCACAAACACATGGCGGTTGGAACCAAAAATCTCAAATTTGGACTCCAGACCAAAGAACAGATTTCCACCGGTCTAATGCTCGAGTTTCTTGGCCCAAGCAAGTCTCTTCTTCTTATTCCTTTAGTAGTAGTTTCGACCATGAAGGCCTAATTCACACAGTCTCCTCTGAACAGTTGATGTTGAGATGTGTCTGTTACTTGAACTCTGTGTAGCATTTATTTGTCCTGCAATTTCTGAGGCTGGTAACTCTAATGAACTTACCCTCTGCAGCAGAGGTAACTTTGGGTCTTCCATTCCTGTGGCGGTCCTCATGAAAGCTAGTTTCATCATAGTGCTTGATGGTTTTTGCGACTGTGCTTAAAGAAACTTTTAAAGTTCTTGAAATTTTCCGGATTGACTGACCTTCATGTCTTAAAGTAATGATTGACTGTCGTTTCTCTTTGCTTATTTGAGCTGTTCTTAAGACCATCTTCTGTGTACCCCCCTACTGTCACAGGTGTAGAGAGGAGTAGGTAGGAGGCAGTCACAGGTTTAGAACTACTGAATTTATTGAAGCACCATATATCAAAGCGGGACAAAACCCAAAGTGAAAAATATAAAGTACTCAGGAAATAGTAGGAGAGATACCTCTCAGGAAAACAAGGAACATTTACAATGACCGACAAAGACAAACGACAGAGGGAGTAAATATACAGTGATAGAGTGGAGATTGGAACCAGGTGTGTGTAATGATGACGAGACAAGTCCGGGGTTGATGAGTGAAGGGCATTTGCCAGCAGCAGGTTCGGCAGCAGCTAGAAGGCTGGCGACGCCGAACGCCTGAGCTGGACAGGAGGGGAAGTCAAAGCGAAGGCTGGTGTGACACCTACACTTCTTCTTTAAGAGGCTCCTCTGTCCTCCACTCGTTACCTGTATTAATGGCACCTGTTTGAACTTGTTATCAGTATAAAAGACACCTGTCCACAACCTCAAACAGTCACACTCCAAACACCACTATGGCCAAGACCAAAGAGCTGTCAAAGGACACCAGAAACAAAATTGTAGACCTGCACCAGGCTGGGAAGACTGAATCTGCAATAGGTAAGCAGCTTGGTTTGAAGAAATCAACTGTGGGAGCAATTATTAGGAAATGGAAGACATACAAGACCACTGATAATCTCCCTCGATCTGGGGCTCCACGCAAGATCTCACCCTGTGGGGTCAAAATGATCACAAGAACGGTGAGCAAAAATCCCAGAACCACACGGGGGGACCTAGTGAATGACCTGCAGAGAGCTGGGACCAAAGTAACAAAGCCTACCATCAGTAACACACTACACCGCCAGGGACTCAAATCCTGCAGTGCAGGACGTGTCCCCCTGCTTAAGCCAGTACATGTCCAGGCCCGTCTGAAATTTGCTAGAGTGCATTTGGATGATCCAGAAGAGGAATGGGAGAATGTCATATGGTCAGATGAAACCAAAATATAACTTTTTGGTAAAAACTCAACTCGTCGTGTTTGGAGGACAAAGAATGCTGAGTTGCATCCAAAGAACACCATACCTATTGTGAAGCATGGGGGTGGAAACATCATGCTTTGGGGCTGTTTTTCTGCAAAGGGACCAGGACGACTGATCCGTGTAAAGGAAAGAATGAATGGGGCCATGTATCGTGAGATTTTGAGTGAAAACCTCCTTCCATCAGCAAGGGCATTGAAGATGAAACGTGGCTGGGTCTTTCAGCATGACAATGATCCCAAACACACCGCCCGGGCAACGAAGGAGTGGCTTCGTAAGAAGCATTTCAAGGTCCTGGAGTGGCCTAGCCAGTCTCCAGATCTCAACCCCATAGAAAATCTTTGGAGGGAGTTGAAAGTCCGTGTTGCCCAGCGACAGCGCCAAAACATCACTGCTCTAGAGGAGATCTGCATGGAGGAATGGGCCAAAATTTGTCACAACACAACTGATTGGCTCAAACACATTAAGTGTTTAACTTAATTAACTTTTAAGAAGGCCCACCTGTTAATTGAAATGCATTCCAGGTGACTACCTCATGAAGCTGGTTGATAGAATGCCAAGAGTGTGCAAAGCTATCATCAAAGCAAAGGGTGGCTATTTGAATATTATTTTAACACTTTTTTGGTTACTACATGATTCCATATGTCTTATTTCATAGTTTTGATGTCTTCAATATTATTCTACAAGGTAGAAAATAGTAAAAGTAAAGAAATACCCTTGAATGAGTAGGTGTCCTAAAACTTTTGACCGGTAGTGCGGGAATAAAACCACAACTCTGGTGGTACAAGTATGCATGCAACTGATGCATGGGGACCACTAGCCTCCTGGCTGACCTGTATGTGTGTGTTGTCCTGCACAGATCATCCAGATTGCCCCCATGCCGATGGTCCAGACAAATGTCCACCCTGCTGGAGCATTGCATCCTGGGGGTCCCTTCCCTGTATCCATGGCAACAGCCACTGTGATGACTCCGGGCATCAAACCCCCTCAGACCGTGTTGCTGACCTCGCCTCCAACAAGGTACTCACTTTAACCTACAAGAAACGTCTGATTATACAGTATATTCAGTGCATTCGGAAAGTATTCAGACCCCTTGACTTTTTCCTACATTTTGTTACGTTACAGGCTTATTCTAAAATGGATAAAAATAAATACATATTCTCATCAATCTACACACAATACCCCATAATGACAAAGCAAAAACAGGTATTTAGAATTTTTTTGCAATTGTATTAAAAATAATTAAATGAAATACTTTATTTACATAAGTATTCAGACCCTTTGCTATGTGATGCGAAATTGACCTCAGGGGCACCCTGTTTCCATTGATCATCCTTGAGCTGTTTCTACAACTTGATTGGAGTCCACCTGTGGTAAATTCAATTGATTGGACATGATTTGGAAAGGCACACACCTGTCTATATAAGGTCCCACAGTTGACAGTATATGTCAGAGCAAAAACCAAGCCTTGAGGTCAAAGGAATTGTCCGTAGAGCTCCGAGACAGGATTGTGTCGAGGCACAGATCTGGGAAATGTACCAAAACATTTCTGCAGCATTGAAGGTCCCCAAGAACACAGTGGCCTCCATCATTCTTAAATGGAAGAAGTTTGGAACCACCAAGACTCTTCCTAGAGCTGGCTGCCCGGCCAAACTGAGCAATCGGGGGAGAAGGGCCTTGGTCAAGGAGGTGACCAAGAACCCAATGGTCACTCTGACAGAGCTCCAGAGTTCCTCTGTGGAGATGGGAGAACCTTCCAAAAGGACAACCATCTCTGCAGTACTCCACCAATCAGGCCTTTATGGTAGAGAGGCCAGACGGAAGCTACTCCTCAGTAAAAGGTACATGACAGCCCGCTTGGAGTTTGCCAAAAGGCACCTAATGACTCTCAGACCACAACATTCTCTGGTCTGATGAAACCAAGATTGAACTATTTGGCCTGCATGCCAAGCGTCACGTCTGGAGGAAACTTGGCACCATCCCTACGGTAAAGCATGGTGGTGGCAACATCATGCTGTGGAGATGTTTATCAGAGGCAGGGACTGGGAGACTAGTCAGGATTGAGGGAAAGATGAATGGAGCAAAGTACAGAGAGATCCTTGATGAAAACCTGCGCCAGACCCGCTCAGGACCTCAGACTGGGTCTAAGGTTCGCCTTCCAACAGGACAATGACCCTAAGCACACAGCCAAGACAACGCAGGAGTGGCTTCGGGACAAGTCTCTGAATGTCCTTGAGTGGCCCAGCCACAGCCCAGACTTGAACCCGATCGAACATCTCTGGAGAGACCTGAAAATAGCTGTGCAGTGACGCTCCCCATCCAACCTGACAGAGCTTGAGAGGATCTGCAGAGAAGAATGGGAGAAACTCCCCAAATACAGGTGTGCCAAGCTTGTAGCGTCATACCCAAGAAGACTTGAGGCTGTAATCGCTGCCAAAGGTGCTTCAACAAAGTACTGAGTCAAGGGTCTGAATACTTATGTAAATGTGATATATCCAGGTTTTTTTTATATACATTTGCAAGAATTTCTAAAAAAAAAAAAACCTGTTTTTGCTTTGTCATCATGGGGTACTGTGTGTAGATTGATGGGGGGGGAGGAAACAATTTAATCAATTTTAGAGTAAGGCTGTAACGTAACAAAATGTGGAAAAAGTCAAGGGATCTGAATACTTTCAAAATGCACTGTGTGTCCCACTATTACTTTCACATGGCATGTTTTAATGACAAGAGAAACTCAGCAGACTTTTAGTTTATTGTGGTTGGTCAATTGACGTTCATCAGAACAAAGTGTTCATAGCTAAACCATCTGCTTTTTGGCTCTTTTTTACTCTAGGATCACTTATGTCCAATCCAGCACCGGAGTGGTCTCCACAGCAACGGTCCAGGCCCCTCTCTCTCCAGGCCCAGGCTACCTGCCGTCGTCCCTGAGAACCCTGGGCTTCACCACCATTGCCCCGGCCGGCCAAACCCTGATGCAGCCTCTCGTAGCGGGCCAACCGCCCTTGCTAGCCCCAGCCCTTTCCCCTGGAGCCCCGGGGACCGGACGTCAACTCCTAACCGCCATTTACCCAGCCCCGAGCGTCACCCTGGCGCCAGGTATGGTTTCCATTACCTCCGTGCCCCCCAATTTGGCTCAAGAAGTGTCCGGCCAATCATCACTCTCGGCTGTTGGCGTCCAGGGTTCAAAGGTGACCCAGTCACATGAAGAGGGAATGCCACACCTGACTGCAGAGATGGAACACAAGCCACAGGTGGAGGGCCAGGCCCAAAGGAAGACCAAGACTGAGATAAAGAAAGAGCGCATAAAGATAGAGAAGATGATGGAGGATGTCGAGGCACATAGCCAACCCGGTGCTAACTCAATGGGTACGTCCAGCAGCAATATACCAACAGGTACGTCAAAACTGAAGTCCGTCTCCCCTCACTTTCACGCTGTACTTTTGCACCTACCCTCCTCCTCTCTCACCTCCATTTCTCCTTCCATCTCTCCTCTCTTCACTTCTCTGCGTATGGCCTTTTTGAATGTACTTTCAGTGCATCTCTTCTGCTGGTTTTTCAAACACTCCACAAATTTCTTGTTAACAAACTATAATTTTGGCAAGTCGGTTAGGACATCTACTTTGTGCATGACACAAGTAATTTTTCCAACAATTGTTTACAGACAGATTATTTCACTTATAATTCACTGTATCACAATTCCAGTGGGTCAGAAGGTTACATACACTAAGTTGACTGTGCCTTTAAACAGCTTGGAAAATTCCAGAAAATGATGTCATGGCTTTAGAAGCTTCTGATAGGCTAATTGACATCGTTTGAGTAAATTGGAGGTGTACCTGTGGATGTATTTCAAGGCCTACCGTCAAACTCAGTGCCTCTTTGCTTGACATCATGGGAAAATCAAAAGAAATCAGCCAAGACTTCAGAAAAACAATTGTAGACCAGAAGTCTGGTTCATCCTTGGGAGCAATTTCCAAACGCCTGAAGGTACCACGTTCATCTGTACAAACAATAGTACGCAGGTATAAACACCATGGGACCACGCAGCTGTCATACCGCTCAGGAAGGAGACGTGTTCCGTCTCCTTGAGATTAACGTACTTTGGTGCGAAAAGTGCAACTCAATCCCAGAACAACAGCAAAGGACTTTGTGAAGATGCTGGAGGAAACAGGTACAAAAGTATCTATATCCACAGTAAAACGAGTCCTATATCGACATAACCTTAAAGGCCGCTCAGCAAGGAAGAAGCCACTGCTCCAAAACCGCCATAAAAAAGCCAGACTACAGTTTGCAACTGCACATGGGGACAAAGATCGTACTTTTTGGAGAAATGTCCTCTGGTCTGATGAAACAAAAATAGAACTGTTTGGCCATAATGACCAACGTTATATTTAGAGGAAAAAGGGGGTCGCTTGCAAGCCGAAGAACACCATCCCAACCGTGAAGCACGGGGGTGGCAGCATCATGCTGTGGGGGTGCTTTGCTGCAGGAGGGACTGGTGCACTTCACAAAATAGATGGCATCATGAGGAAGGAGAATTATGTGGATATATTGAAGCAACATCTCAAGACATCAGTCAGGAAGTTAAAACTTGGTCGCAAATTGGTCTTCCAAATGGAAAATGACCCCAAGCATACTTCCAAGGTTGTGCCAAAATTGCTTAAGGACAACAAAGTCAAGGTATTGGAGTGGCCATCACAAAGCCTTGACCTCAATCCTATAAAACATTTGTGGGCAGAACTGAAAAAGTGTGTGCGAGCAAGGAGGCCTACAAACCTGACTCAGTTACACCAGCTCTGTCAGGAGGAATGGGCCAAAATTCACCCAACTTATTGTGGGAAGCTTGTGGAAGGCTACCCGAAACGTTTGACCCAAGTTAAACAATTTGAAGGCAATGCTATCAAATACTAATGGAGTGTATGTAAACTTCTGACCCACTGGGAATGTGATGAAAGAAATAAAAGCTGAAATAAATCATTCTCTCTACAATTTATTCTGACATTTCACATTCTTAAAATAAAGTGGTGATCCTAACTGACCTAAGACAGAGCATTTTTACTAGGATTAAATGTCAGGAATTTTGAAAAGCTGAGTTTAAATGTATTTGGCTAAGGTGAATGTAAACTTCCGACTTCAACTGTATTATTACTAGGAATCATGAGCCGCTATTTTGTGTTTTCCTGCAGGGAATGAAGAAGATGGTGGTCGAGCCAGCCACATGAAAGAAGAGAATACGGACGATGACAGAGATTATGCCAGAGAGAAACAGACAGACGTGGATGGAGAGAGGGAGAGGGGGATAAAGAAGGAGAGGGGGACGCCTGAACCAGAGGAGTCCAGGAAGGCAGAGGATTGGCCCCATGAGGGCCACAACAAAGGGGACAGTGGCAACGGGGGCCACAGCAAAGAGGTAAGAGACTCTGGGTTTTGCTGAAGATCGCGCACCCATCGAAAACAATGACTTCTGTAGATATTGCAAAAAGCAATACGAACAATTCTATTATCGCGATGCAAGCAATTATCGCAAACACTTATTATAAGGCTGCTGGTAAGGTTACTGATCCCTCTACCTTTTTGTGTCTCTCCAGGCTGGACCGAGGGAACCTCTCCACCCTCCCACAGGACTGGACCCTCCTCTGCCTCCCTCACAGACTGACAGGAACGCGCCCCCCTCAGCCAAGAAGACCAAATTCCGCCCACCGCCACTCAAAAAGCCCTCTGACTCCGTTGAAAAGTGAGTGACAGGGATGGGGGGAGGGGCAATGGGAGGAAATTAAAACACATCACCATCGCGTTGCTTCTCTCTGTGGTCACTATTTGGTAGATTACATAGTTGACAGTAAACGTGTATTGACAGTTATGACCAAGTGGAGAAGAATTTGTAGCCAGGGAATCAGTTGGTTGGAGCTTGGTGCTTACATCACTAGCGTTGAGGGTTCGATCCAGACCAGGATAAAGTGACTAAGGGGGCAGTTGAAATCGGCAAGGGGGCTACATTTTTGGGGGTTCTTGCATTGGAATTATATTGGATTCTGTTTAAATGATGCTATACCACAATAAACATGAAGTTCAAATGCAGAGACTCCAAGATCATTGAGTGCTTTTGAAGTGACAGGTTGGCACGAAATCTGTAGCCTTTCTCCGCTGCACTGTATCAACATAAAATAGGGGCCTTCTAGCAGTCGTAAGGACAAAGATTCAACAGGAGGCATACAGGTATAGATGCAAATTATTGTTGGATATATTTACACAGCGCTGGTGTTTCAAAGATGACGATGATATTTACAAATATATATATACCAAGTTCTGACTTCAAAATGTCAACATTCAAAAGAAAAAGCCTCTCATCAGACAAAACCTGTCTTAACTAATAAACCACAGGTGGGGTCCACCAGGCTCAGGGGGGGGGGGGGTTGGAGTAAAGGGGGGGGTGGGGGGTAGAAGGATTACTTTATCCTATCCCAGGTATTCCTTAAAGAGGTGGGGTTTCAAATGTCTCCGGAAGGTGGTGAGTGACTCCGCTGTCCTGGCGTCGTGAGGGAGCTTGTTCCACCATTGGGGTGCCAGAGCAGCGAACAGTTTTGACTGGGCTGAGCGGGAACTATGCTTCCGCAGAGGTAGGGGAGCCAGCAGGCCAGAGGTGGATGAACGCAGTGCCCTCGTTTGGGTGTAGGGACTGATCAGAGCCTGAAGGTACGGAGGTGCCGTTCCCCTCACAGCTCCGTAGGCAAGCACCATGGTCTTGTAGCAGATGCGAGCTTCAACTGGAAGCCAGTGGAGTGTGCGGAGGAGCGGGGGTGACGTGAGAGAACTTGGGAAGGTAGAACACCAGACGGGCTGCAGCATTCTGGATGAGTTGTAGGGGTTTAATGGCACAGGCAGGGAGCCCAGCCAACAGCGAGTTGCAGTAATCCAGACGGGAGATGACAAGTGCCTGGATTAGGACCTGTGCCGCTTCCTGTGTAAGGCAGGGTCGTACTCTCCGAATGTTGTAGAGCATGAACCTACAGGATCGGGTCACCGCCTTGATGTTAGCGGAGAACGACAGGGTGTTGTCCAGGGTCACGCCAAGGCTCTTCGCACTCTGGGAGGAGGACACAACGGAGTTGTCAACCGTGATGGCGAGATCATGGAACGGGCAGTCCTTCCCCGGGAGGAAGAGCAGCTCCGTCTTGCCGAGGTTCAGCTTGAGGTGGTGATCCGTCATCCATACTGATATGTCTGCCAGACATGCAGAGATGCGATTCGCCACCTGGTTATCAGAAGGGGGAAAGGAGAAGATTAGTTGTGTGTCGTCAGCGTAGCAATGATAGGAGAGGCCATGTGAGGATATGACAGAGCCAAGTGACTTGGTGTATAGCGAGAATAGGAGAGGGCCTAGAACTGAGCCCTGGGGGACACCAGTGGTGAGAGCACGTGGTGCGGAGACAGCTTCTCGCCACGCCACTTGGTAGGAGCGACCGGTCAGGTAGGACGCAATCCAAGAGTGAGCCGCGCTGGAGATGCCCAGCTCGGAGAGGGTGGAGAGGAGGATCTGATGGTTCACAGTATCAAAGGCAGCAGACAGGTCTAGAAGGACAAGAGCAGAGGAGAGAGAGTTAGCTCAACATTAAACATGACGGAGAAACCGGGCGCATAGTCTCCAAACAACTACAACAAAGAAATGGACAGTAAACTGGTAAATGCAATTAAATAAACCAAAAGTTCTTCATCACAAGTGTTGCACAGTTTGTGCGCTCTCCAAACGACGTTTCCACTTGGAGAATGAGAATGGGATGAATATATATTATATTTAATGACTTTTCAACATTTCCGTAATCAAATATTCTAAATGAATGCTGGAATATGTTGGGATTAAAGGTAACTTCACTGATGAATGTATATTTCACGGGGCATTGATAAACATGGACAAACAATTGACACGGTGAAACAAATAGTGCTCACGAATTAGCAGGAGTCAGTGCGCGATAGTGGAGAGAGACGTGGCTATAGCGCGTCTTGACCACATACCCCTGCCCTTATTCTGGTCTCGACATTTTAAATTATGTCCGAGACACGTTCCTCACACATAAGCAGTAACCTCATAAACATTGTCAGGATGTAGCAGTGGTCATTTTCCCTTCAACTGAAATCATTACGGTTCAGTATTTCTTACCACCCCCCTTAAATGCACACACAACCCAAACTAATGGACATGTGACAGCGAGACAGAATGGCACATTCCAAACGAGCACTGGGTACATGATACATATTGACCAACATGGTATGGAGAAAATAAAGGAACATCATAGCAGTTGCCCCGAGGCAGATGGCACAAACTTCCCCACATGGGCCTTTGTTGAAGCAGGTAAGGGAGCATTCTCTCCCGAACGATACACAGTCGACACTGGGGTTGTCTCCAGACCCCCCAGCAGTGACACAACTTCCGTGCCACACCAAGGAACATTTTGCGGTGCAATCATTTTCTCTCCAAGCCGGGGAAAAGGTCAGAGCACAACCTCTCCTCTCCAGGCTCCGGAGAGAGCTCGGTCATAATGAGTCAATGTCGACATGAAAACCTCACACACCCCATCATAGGGCAGACACTCCTGCAGAGCCCCCCATAGGAACAGCAGAGAAGCAGGAAGGAGACAGTTCAGTCTCAAACACGGTGTCCTCACCAGGGCCCGACTGGTAAACTTGAACCTGCCTTTATAAATCAAATCAAATATTAAAGGGTGGAGGCGTAAATCACATTATTCACTTAGCCTACCACAGAGATGAGAAGTGTTTTTACCGCTTTTTATAGAAACCCAAAGGAGTTATACCTAACCACCCCAGTGGCTTTCCAGAGCCCCCCTACACACACTGCGGCGCTCTCTCCACGGCGGAGATACATCTTTTTTGGGCCCAACCTGTCACTCAATCATTTGAACTTTTTTACTCTTTTTATATAGGGACATAAAACTAAAACTGAGGAGGCACAAGCACCCTTTTAGCCCCCTCGTGGAGCCGGGTACAGTTTGATCCCAACATGGGCCTCATAAAATCAAACTATATTTCAACTGTACAGGGTCCTGTTGGGGTCCTATTTCGAGGAGCGCTTTGCCGAGCTGCCAGAGTTCAGGCCGGAAGAGGTGCTGCCCTCTCCCACCCTCCAAAGTCTGGCCACCTCCCCCCGAGCCATACTGGGCAGCTACCGCAAGAAGAGGAGGAACTCTACAGGTGAGAGAGAGAGAGAGATAAGTAAGACTGTGTTGACATGATAACTCTTGTCGTGATTTGCGTTTTGTCCTACTTTAAAAAAATATGTATATCCCGTCCCCGCAGGAGGCCTTTTGCCTCTTGGTAGGCCGTCATTGTAAATAAGAATTTGTTCTTAATTGACTTGCCTAGTAAAAAAAAAAAAAGTGCTTCTGCTTCCACATAAATACATAGAATCAATTGAGAATAACATCATACACCCCCCTCCCCACCCACACAAAAAGTTAATAAGTTAATGTCAGGCAAGGCTGTGACTAGGTGGCAGTTCCACATGATTAAAGGGATACTTTGGGATTTTGGCAATGCTAGCAGATACCCATAGACTTCCAGTCATTGCGCTAACACTAGTTAGTATTGGCTCGCGAAACTACCTCTAACTTACTTCATACTGGACACAGAGACATTAAAATGGTTTCCACAAGTTCATCTGACTCTGGGGAAGTAGATAAAGGGGCTCATTGCCAAAATCCCAAAGTATCCCTTTAAGGCCTGCAGGCCATCTCCAGTCCGTCATTGCCGTCTGCCTCTATGTCTCCCCTGCTGTTAAGCAGTTTTATTGACGGGGACAAGCTAATGTTTATAACTGTTCAGCCTGCATATAGGTACCCTATAACGCCTCATCAATGGCATCAGCTGGAACTCTGTGTTCAGTGCATGTGTGGGGTCCGATATTACCTTTCTGGCCTGTCTGATGATGGTCTCCTGGAAAATGTCCTGGAGAGAGGAGGGAAGTGTCATGCCAATAATCTTCCCTGCTGTCTTGGTCAGTCTCAAGATTTGGGCTTTGAGCTGCACTGTCAGGTTAAGCCATATCCTGAAACAAGCATGACAAGGGAGAGATTTGTCGAACATATTCAAAAGAAAATGTATTAAGAATCTAGCACAGCCACTAACATGAATTTAAACAGATTTCTTTCCTCCATTAAGAACAGAGGTAGAATACATTATTATTCCATGTTCTATTGAATTCTGTGGTTAAAACACCTTCTCTTCATCCTATATCCCCATCCTCTTTCTTCACTCACTCCACCACCACCTCCTTTTCCTCTGTATCTTCCTCCTCCTCCTCCCCTTCAGACCTGGACTCGTCAGCAGAGGACCCCAGCTCTCCCAGGAGGAAGACTGCAGCTCGGAGCCGTCTCTCCAGCTGCAGCTCGGAGCCCAACACACCAAAGAGCGAGGCCAAGTGTGAGGGGGACATCTTCACCTTCGACAGAGCTGGTACGTAGTGTGGAGTGCACGACAGTCTGTTATAGGTTATGTCTTGTGTCCTAAATGGCACCCTATTCCCTATACGGTATAGTGCACTACTTTTGGCTAGACCCCTATAGCTATTTCCTTAGTTACTTGTCCCTTCCTCCTTGCATTATTTTCTCACTCATCCGTTTTGATTCCCCTTGTTACCCCCTCTTTTCACTATTCTTCACTTCTCTCAATCACCATCTTTTCCCCTCCCTCCTTCCCCTCTCTTCTCTCCTCTCATCTCTCTCTCCTCTGTCCTGTCATTTCTCTAGGTGCTGAGTCTGAGGATGTCTTGGGGGAGATGGACAGAGTACCGTACTCCTCTCTCCGGAGAACTTTGGACCAGCGCAGGGCTCTCGTTATGCAGCTCTTCCAGGAACATGGCTTTTTCCCTTCAGGTAACCACCCGGCACCATCTGCTTCTCTCATTGGCTCATGTAGCCAAATTGTTTACTGTCATTGGTCACCTTGTATACTGGTTTTGTGGTTGAGCAAGACCAGATTACAACCAACTAGTCTCTGATACAACCAGGCAAAGGTTGCACTGCAATAGTTTTCTTCAGAGGGCTCATCTTCTTTCCCTCTCTTCTCCTCCTCTGTCCCCCCGTCTAGCCCAGGCCACTGCAGCCTTCCAGGCGCGCTATTCGGACACCTTCCCCACCAAACTGTGTCTGCAGCTGAAGATCAGGGAGGTGAGGCAGAAGATCATGCAGACAGCCACACCTGGAACCCCCGGAATCTCTGAGCCCAGCGGGTCAACAACAGGGGTCATGGGGTCAACAGACTCTGCCTGCGCTGCCAATAGCTCCTCCAATACCAACACTCGAGATGGTACAGGGACGGAGCCCGGAGAAAGAGGGCGGAGTCCCGAGGAGCCCAGGTGCATGGGTAAATTGTAGAAAAGGAAAGAAAGAGAGATGGAAAGAAGGAGAAAAACAACAAGAGAATGGAGATGGTGGAGAGAAAGTGACAAAAGAGAGAAAGGAGTGTTGTTGTGACCCACAGCATGTCCTTGTACATGTAGTAACTGGCACAGTTCTGCACTGGCTGTACTCTCAGCACATTTGTAGTTTGTAATTTGACACAGAAAATTCTGTGGTACACGCCAGTGGAGGCTGGTGGGAGGAGCTATAGGAGGACAGGCTCATTGTAATGACTGGAATGGAATAAATGGAACGGAGTCAACCATGTGATTTCCATATGTTTGATGTGTTTGATACCGTTCCATTGATTCCATTCCAGCCATTACAATGAGCCCGCCCACCAACCTCCTCTGGTACACACATTATTAACGTCTCTCTTGCACATACACACACATCCCACCAACTCAGACTGTTACTTTTGGGTGGCAGTCACAAGCACTGTCACACAAAAGACGACTATACACAATGGCACTTTGTAACAATTTGTGCGGATGCTGTGTGCAGCCCTCTGTTGCCATTGACTTGACTTGCCTCCCTCCACTCCTCAGCACAGTGGTTGGGATGTATGCAATGTAACCTCCACTGAAATTCCACAGCCCCTGTATGCTGCAACAACAGACAGCACTGAACTGGACACACACTGCACACACAGAGTCTGCCAGTCAACTCAACACTCGCCTGACCAAGCCATTGGCCTGCACAGTTTTTAGCGATTGTAGAAAATGAGTCAAGCATGGATACCATTGGCTCCCGAAAAAGGGAGGCTGGAGTCAGTGTGACCATTGACCAATCCCTGGCCCAATCAGTTATCAACGTCACAGACAGACTGAGTTCCGATTGGCTGGAGAGGATGTTGTATATTGAGGTGTCCCCCCTTGTGAACGCCATTATGAGATATGAAATATGTAAAGATTGAAGGGTGATGCGTGACAAAGCAACAAACTCAACATTGGTTGGCTGTAACTGATTACAGAGAAAGGCTGAACGAGACAATCGTCCATTCATTGGTCAACTCAAGAGGCTGCGGATTCCACCAAGGACACTGCAAGCAGATGATGCGACATGGCTTCCAAGTGACAGTTCACAAGCAAAAGTAGATTTTTAACCAACGTCTAGGAGTCACCCAGTGGATATGTTGCTTTATCTTGTATTGTTGCAGTGGAAATAACAAGTTTTCTGTGGCCTGTTTTCTCTCTTGTGGCTCTCATTGGTGTTTCTCCAGCATAAACTTATATAAAAGGGGTTTGGAAACAGCCCACGCGACCCCTCTTCTAAATGTTACTTTGGGCCATTCCCCCTCTCCCATGACTTCTCAGTAGACATGTAGAGGAGGGGGCAGGGAGTTTGTTTTTAAATGTTGAAATCAGGTGTTTGCACAATGTGTGGTCATGTGACTGCAATTTAAATCAGGAAAGTATTGTTTTTAGAGATTGTTTCATAGAAATAACCTTGTTGTTCCATGTTATCAATCCCCCCTCTTCCATTTGGAGCCCCTTTCCCCCTCGCTTCCGCTCCCTGCCCTTGTAGCCAAGTGTTGTTAGAAAGTGCCCTTAAGCACTGGTCCAGGGTCAGTTCTGTTATGTAGCTCAGGATGGCTCTGGTTAGAGTTTAGTTCAGGGAAAGCAGATCCTAGACCAGCCCTGTAGGGCATTCTCTGGAGCCCTCTCTCTTCCCTCTCTGCCACTTTATTTTTTCCTTATTAAATGGTGCAATAGGATATTTGGAATGGGTGGGTTATGTGGGTCTGTGCCATAGATATTTACAGTACAGTCAGAAGACCCATTCTAATAACTATGGTATAAGAAGAACTCTCTGAGATTGCTATATTTGAAGAGATAGAGCATAGCTAACTAACTAAAGTCAAAGAAATTCAAATAGCACTTTTTGCCTCTTCACTTGTTTTGGGAAGAGTTGGGGTAGTTATGGGTATACCTTTATTTCTCTGTATACAGTTGGATGTGTGAAAAAAAAAAAGTATATATATATATATTTCCATATGTGCATATAGATTATGTGTATGTTTGCGCACATGCATGTATGGACTCGGCCACACCCTGATTCCTTCACATACCATACAATAAGACATTATAAATTTTATGTTCTTCACATATTCTAGAGGCAGTATTTTTACAGTCACCAGAACTATTATATGACATCTTGACTGTTATATAATGAGATAGTCCAAGATCAAACACATAGAATTTATCAGAGATTTGTTGAATCTTGCAAAGGTGAGGCCTGAAATGTTTCCATGCACATGCATGTGCGCACGCAAACACACAGACATACATACACACACACACGTATGCGTGTACACTGTATGATTGTGCTTAAAATAAACTGTCCATACTTTGGAGAAGGAATTTTAGAATGAGAGAGATGAGTGTGAGCTCATAAACAGGCATGTTGACCATGTGCAATATTTCTAAACAAAATAAACAACTAAATATTGAAAATATTAAAGATCTAACACAATATCCTTGGTCTTTGACTTTGTTCTGAGTCAGATTAGTGAATGTGAGTGTGCTGGTTTAATGGAATCCATCTCTGTACAACTGATCCAAGATTCCAACGGAAGTGCCCCTGTAAGGTCGGTAATAACAAATAACTACTTTATCCTATGTGGATGGAGACGCCCCATGTTATGCCTAAAGGTGTGAGCGCGTAATGATACTTGAAATGATGACTAGAAGAGAATCTGAATTCAGTGAACGTGAACCAGTGACTCCCCTACACAGTCAACTATGGTTGCTTCCACAAAGTGAAATCACCAGTATTTTGAGATTCCCTTTGTTGATTGATTTTCCATAAACAAGTAGAAGTCTCACACCTGTCCATCAGTCATGTTAAAGTGGGATTACCTGCAATTACAATGTCAAGATCAATCCTGCAAAGGCAGGTGGAGATATTTTACATTTTACGTCATTTAGCAGACGCTCTTATCCAGAGCGACTTACATTATTTATTTATTTTCATACCCCCTGTGGGAATCGAACCCACAACCCTGGCATTGCAAACACCATGCTCTATCAACTGAGCTACATCCCTGCCGGCCATTCCCTCCCCTACCCTGGACGACGCTGGGCCAATTGCGCGCCGCCCCATGGGTCTCCCAGTCACGGCCGGCTACGACAGAGCCTGGATTCGAACCAGGATCTCTAGTGGCACAGCTAGCACTGCGATGCAGTGCCTTAGACCACTGCGCCACTCAGCCTTTAGCAGGCGCTCTTACAGTTAGTGAGAGTGCATTAAAAAAAAAAATCATACTGGCCCCCCGTGGGAATCGAACCCACAACCCTTGCGTTGCAAGCGCCATGCTCTACCAACTGAGCTACACGGGACTCATAATCTCATGCTCGTTAATCCACAACTTCAATTGGTGTACCAGACCATTCAGAGATCTTGGACAGTGTGTTGAGGAAAGAACCAATACCTGGGTGACACTATTTGCATCATCCATTAGTTGACATCAGGCACTACATTTGAGTCAATTGCCACCTCTGACATCATTGTTGTGGAATTCGTACTCTCCTCTTATCCAAAACATTATGGGATTTGTAGTTTTCATGTCTGTACTCCCTTTCGTGTATACATAATTTTTACAGTAACGGTAGATATCAAGAAATCCCAGACGGAGCGCCACCTCTGGTGAAACTCAACACTGTTATTTTAGCAGTGTAGTTCTATAGGTATTTTCAAAGACAAGGGAACAGTCGTGAGCAGCAGCCAAATCGAACTTCATTTCCCAGGAGAAAATGCAATTTGTCCGTTTCTACTGTCTACGAGCTCAGACAGGCAGCGCAAGGGAGGACTCATCGGAACGGTGTCAATTTTGTCTGTTTTACAACGATTATTGCATTTGCAGTCAAAAGAGACAACATTTAAACTCACTTGGTGTGAATCCCTAGCCCCCCGCCCGCTACCCTTGCACAGAGATATGAGCGGCAGCGGGCGGCCCAGAACTAGCTCGTTTGCTGAGCCACAAGGTAATCTCGGAGCCGCTGCAGCATCCACCGGATCAGCCGCTGCGGTGGGGAGCAGCACAGGAAAGACCGGGGTCCAGCAGGCCTCGGGGAGCAGTTCGTCTGGATGCTCAAATTTAAAGCTGGCCAGTAAGTTCATTATGATGTGTTTTATGAAAAATATTGCCTTGGATGATTAAAATACACATATTGTAGCTACATCCCAGTGTCCAATGTTGTAGCTAATGTGGGCAGTTTTGCACGATTACCACGGCAAACATTGTTGTTGTAACGTTAGTTTGGAAAAGCTAGTTAGCTAACGTTAGTTGGCTAGTTAACTGCCTTGATTAACTGTCGTTGGCTAAACGGTTAACTTGTCAATTAACAAGCTAGTTACTGTAACTTGCTAACCCACGCCGAAAACCAAGTCATTCGCGTTAACTAGTTAGTTAGCTTGCTAGGTCTAGGTTAGTTATACTGAACAAAAATATAAATGTAACAATTTCAAAGATTTTACTAAGTTGCAGTTAATATGATTGAGGAAATGTCAATTGACAAATTCGATAGGCCCTAATCTATGGATTTCACATGACTGGGAATACAGATATGCATCTGTTGGTCACATAAAAAAAATGGATGTCATGGTATTTCTGTGCATTCAAATTGCCATGGATAAAATGTAATTGTGTTCGTTGTCCGTAACTTATGCCTTCCCATACCATAACCCCACCGCCACCATGGGGCACTCTGTTCACATTGACATCAGCAAACTGCTCGCCCACACGACGCCATACACGTGGTCTGCGGATGTGAGGCCGGTTGGACATACTGCCAAATTCTCTAAAACGAATTTGGAGGCGGTTATAGCAGATCAATTAACTATAAATTGTCTAGCAACAGCTCTGGTGGCCATTCCAGCAGTCAGAATGCCAATTGCACGCTCCCTCAAAACCAAAGACATCTGTGGCGTTGTGTGACCACTGCACATTGGCCTTTTATTGTCCCCAGCACAAGATGCACCTGTGTAATGATTATGCTGTTTAATCTGTTTCATGATATGCCACACCTGTCAGGTGAAAGGAGAAATGCTCACTAACAGGGATGTAAACACATTTAGTACTCAATTTGAAGGAGATGAGCTTTTTGTGTGTATGAAACATTTCTGGGATGTTTTATTTCAGTTCATGAAACACTGGACCAACACTTTACATGTTGCGTTTATATTTTTGTTCAGTGTATATTAGCATGACAGCTAATTAATGACCTCACGGTACTGTAACTAGCTAGTCAAGTTGACTTGCTAGCTAACTAGCTAGTTACATAAATATAAAGAAAGCATAAGCAATGCAAACAACCTTAGCTACGTGTACTAAGACATGCTAGCTAACTTGTAAGCAGCAGCTAGAGCAGATGGATAGCTAGCATCTAAGATGGGTTTAAGATGGCTAGGTACTAACGTTAGCTAATTTACAAGGGGATTCGATTTAGTTAGCTAACATAGCTACAGTAGCTAGCTAACGCTAGTTACACCATTTTTATATTATAACAAGCAAACGAGTCAGTGATAACTAGCTAACTAGTTCAAACAACAATTAACTTTACCTAACGAGCTAGCTATTTGACACTACAAACCCCAGGCTAACGTTAATGTCACAGACTTGGTAGGTGTAGGCTAGCTAGGTAGCCTAATTGTTCATAACAGTTGACAACTAAGCTAGCCAGATAACTAGCTTTGTGCTTTCCAACACAGATTAATGTTAAGAGCACCCTTACCTACAGTTCAAATTAGGTCGATAGTGGAGACTTATCTATCCAATAGCCCAGATAAGTAACCAGCCTAGAAAGATCTCTAGTTATGCGTTGACTGTTAACAGGTGATACAGAACTTGATAAAAAGTGAGGAAACATGTAACCCCTAGCCAACTGTATAATATATTATGAGCTAATAATTCTCCAAGAAGTAGGCTAGTAGATATACAGAAGAAAGTTGACAAGCTGAAATACTTGCTTACATAGCACATCAACAACTTCCTTGTGTCCTTTGCAAATGTTTTTGTTTCATAGAGCATGCTTCCACTTTGCGCCTTGTAGTGCACATTGGAATTGGATGGCTTTATCCACCACGATGATCCACGTTTGTCATGCAGAGTACATTTTGTTGGCTGCGGATCCGACTTTTCCCAGACCTCCTTCCCCCTGAAAAGGTCCTGAAGCTTCTGCTTATGTGCAGATCACGCTCTGCACATGTTTCTTTACTGCACACATTTGTGGTCCCCTTGACATTTCTCACTGTCAATGGTGAATGATAATTCTTCAAGTTTTACTGGTGAAACGTCAGTATACATTAGTTATAGTGTTGTTTGAAGTAGCCTACAGTGTTGTTTTGAGTGATGTACAGTGAATGAATTTTAGGGTAGATGGCGTTAACAAACTGTAGCATAGCCTACCTGTGTATTTTGCTTAGTGGCGGGCGCCCGCTGTTGAGTTTTGGCAGCATGAGAGAAATATGGTGGTGTTTTTGTCTTACAGTAACGTCATACTATGCTATTATATTCGGTTCTGTTAGGTAGAATACTATCATTATGTGGTCTTGTAGACATTGATTCAGCTTTTATCCATCTTTATTAAATGACCACCATTCGCCAAAGTAGCCTGTTCTCTACGGATAGAGCAGAGACTGTGCGTAAAGCAGATAATAAACACATGCGCAGAACCTTTGGGATCTTTAGTCCGGGGGGGAAAAGTTCTGGGAAAAGTTTGATCCGCAGCCACATCGTATTATATTTGATAATGAAAGTTGGAGCTCAAACCTCATGGTATAATTCAATCTTGGTGAAACATTGAGCAAAGATGTGGACAGCAGGACATGCTGATGCTTTTGAAATGGTGAAGTGGCATTCCAAAAGTTGACAGGTCTCCTTTTTTGTCAATTTGTTAATGCTTCATGTGGGACATTGACACCTGTGAAGTCATTATAACATTTCTGTGGTTTGTATTTGACACTAGCAAGAATATAGGCTACTAGTCTAGCCATGGATTGCGTTTCACTAAATTAACCTAAGTCACATTTTGTCTCAGATCTCTGGTATCTATGGCGCAAGTTCGCAGGTCCATAAATTCAACAATTTCTTTAAAAACAACAACTCCCTCTATTTCTGCACGTCCAGGTGTTTCAATTCCACAACCCTCATGTCATTCTGCAGGAGCACACTGTGTATTATGTCTCATCACCATGGTGATTGTGCGCACACACGCACGCACACACACACACATCATTTGTTTGTGGGAGGCTTTGTGATATGAGCGGAGTTAGAGCAGGGTCATTCTCAGTGCTAAGGTCTCCAGTTCAACCAGCCATCTGGCCCTGTCCTGTCCTCATACAGGGAATTAACCTCACATGAAGCAGGCCTGCCTCAGAACTCTGACCCAGGCCACCAAACACACAGTTGTTTGAGGTGGCCTGGACTTAACTGTTGTTTGAGTTCAAGTGTATTAGATGAGATCGTTGATGGGCCTATTGGATGATCGCAAGTCTTGTGTTCCTTAGGTCAAATGATGTTCAAAAGAGCACAAAATAGCCCTGGAATAGTGATATTGGATCTTACAGTAAAGCATGAATTTGGTTCGTCTTCCGACAAAGCAGGCGGCTACTGTAGTGATTGCACAAACACAAGAGGTAGTTAATAACACGAGCCCTGGGTCCACTAATGTGACCCACATTAGGTCTACATTCCTTCAAAAGACCATGGTTCCTAATAACTGTAGAAATTAACCATATATTAGAAACAATGTCCTTGGTCATGTTCATTATGTCACACGTAGCAAAACAGCTTTTCTTAGAGTTAAGATAATAGGCCTACCTCCCTGTTTCACTCAAGTTTTGGGCCGTTTTCTTCGGTTTCGTACCTACTGAACACAACCCTCTTAGTCTCTCTATTTAAAATCTGAAAATCTCAATTTCACATCTGAAAAGAGGACTATTTCTTTGACATGACTTGTTTCCCAGGGGACAGTGGAAAGGTGACTACGGTGGTGGCCACATCTGGGCAGGGTCCCGACCGCCCACAGGAGGTGTCCTACACGGACATCAAGGTGATCGGGAATGGCTCTTTCGGTGTGGTGTACCAGGCGCGCCTCATCGACAGCCAGGAGATGGTGGCCATAAAGAAGGTGCTGCAGGATAAGAGATTCAAGGTATGGCGGCCAGTCTCTTGGAGACATACAGCCTTGTTGTCACCCAGAGTCACATTTGTTTATGGCACATAATTTACAGTGCATTCGGAAAGTATTCAGACCCCTTCCCCTTTTCCACATTTTGTTACGTTACAGCCTTATTCTAAAATTGATTAAATTATTAATTTTTCTCATCAATTTATACACAATACCCCATAATGACAAATGAAAACAGGTTTTTAGATTTTTTTATTTATTAAAAATGAAAAACAGAAATACCTTATTTACATAAGTATTCAGACCCTTTGCTATGAGACTCTAAAGTGAGCTCAGGTGCATCCTGTTTCCATTGACCATCCTTGAGATGTTTCTACAACTTGATTGGAGTCCACCTGTTGTAAATTCAATTGATTGGACATGATTTGGAAAGGCACACACCTGTCTATATAAGGTCCCACAGTTGACAGTGCATGTCAGAGCAAAAACTAAGCCATAAGGTCTGTAGAGTTCCCGAGACAGGATTGTGTCGAGCATTGAAGGTCCCCAAGAACATAGTGGCCTCCATCATCTCCATCATTCTTAAATGGAAGAAGTTTGGAACCACCAAGACTCTTCCTAGAGCTGGCCGCCCGGCCAAACTGAGCAGTTAGGGGAAGAAGGGCCTTGGTCAGGGAGTTGACCAAGAATCCGATGGTCACTCTGACAGAGCTCCAGAGTTCCTCTGTGGAGATGGGAGAACCTTCCAGAAGGACAATCATCTCTGCAGCACTCCACCAATCAGGCCTTTATGGTAGAGTGGCCAGACGGAAGCCACTCCTCAGTAAAAGGTACATGACAGCCCGCTTGGAGTTTGCCAAAAGGCATTTAAAGGACTCTCAGACCATTAGAAACAAGATTCTCTGGTCTGATGAAACCAAGATTGAACTCTTTGGCCTGAATACCAAGCGTCACGTCTGGAGGAATCCTTGCACCATCCCTACAGTGAAGCATGGTGGTGGCAGCATCATGCTGTGGGGATATTTTTCAGCGGCAGGGACTGGGAGACTAGTCAAGATCGAGGGAAGGATGAATGGATCAAAGTACAGAGAGATCCTTGATGAAAACCTGCTCCAGAGCGCTCAAGACCTGAAAATAGCTGCGGAGAAGAATGGTAGAAACTCCCCAAATACAGGTGTGACAAGCTTTTTTTTATTTGTATACATTTACAAAAATGTATAAACCAGTTTTTGCTTTGTCATTATGGGGTATTATGTGTAGATTGATGAGGGGGTTATAATTTAATGCAGTTAAGAATAAGGCTGTAACGTAACAATGTGGAAATAGTCAAGGTGGACTGAACAAAAATATAAACGCAACATGCAACAATTTTAAAGATTTGACTGAGTTAACAAAGCCTACCATCAGTAACACACTACGCCGCCAGGGACTCAAATCCTGCAGTGCCAGACGTGTCCCCCTGCTTAAGCCAGTACATGTCCGGGCCCGTCTGAAGTTTGCTAGAGTGCATTTGGAAGATCCAGAAGAGGATTGGGAGAATGTCATATGGTCAGATGACACCAAAATATAACTTTTTGGTAAAAACTCAACTCGTCGTGTTTGGAGGACAAAGAATGCTGAGTTGCATCCAAAGAACACCATACCTACTGTGAAGCATGGAGGTGGAAACATCATGCTTTGGGGCTGTTTTTCTAGATTTTTAGTGAAAACCGCCTTCCATCAGCAAGGGCATTGAAGATGAAACGTGGCTGGGTCTTTCAGCATGACAATGATCCCAAACACACCGCCCGGGCAACGAAGGAGTGGCTTCGTAAGAAGCATATCAAGGTCCTGGAGTGGCCTAGCCAGTCTCCAGATCTCAACCCCATAGAAAATCTTTGGAGGGAGTTGAAAGTCCGTGTTGCCCAGCGACAGCCCCAAAACATCACTGCTCTAGAGGAGATCTGCATAGAGGAATGGGCCAAAATACCAGCAACAGTGTGTGAAAACCTTGTGAAGACTTACAGAAAACGTTTGACCTGTGTCATTGCCAACAAAGGGTATATAACAAAGTATTGAGGAACTTTTGTTATTGACCAAATACTTATTTTCCACCATAATTTGCAAAAAAATTACAGGCATCATCTTTTTAAGTGGGAGAACTTGCACAATTGGTGGCTGACTAAATACTTTTTTTCCCCACTGTATGTATGTATGTATGTATATACAGTTGAAGTCAGAAGTTTACATACACTTAGGAGTCATTAAAACTCATTTTTCAACCACTCCACAAATTTCTTGTTAACAAACTATAGTTTTGGCAACTCGGGTAGGACATCTACTTTGTGCATGACACAAGTAAGTTTTCCAACAATTGTTTACAGACAGATTATTTCACTTATAATTCACTGTATCACAATTCCAGTGGGTCAGAAGTTTACATACACTAAGTTGACTGTGCCTTTAAACAGCTTGGAAAATTCCAGAAAATGATGTCATGGCTTTAGAAGCTTGGAGGTGTACCTGTGGATGTATTTCAAGGCCTACCTTCAAACTCAGTGCCTCTTTGCTTGACATCATGGGAAAATGAAAATAAGTCAGCCAAGACCTGAGAAAAAAAATGGTAGACCTCCACAAGTCTGGTTCATCCTTGGCAGCAATTTCCAAATGCCTGAAGGTACCACGTTCATCTGTACAAACAATTTTGGCCCATTCCTCCTGACAGAGCTGGTGTAACAAACTCAGGTTTGTAGGCCTCCTTGCTCGCACACGCTTTTTCATTTCTGCCCAAAAATGTTCTATAGGATTGAGGTCAAGGCTTTGTGATAGCCACTCCAATACCTTGACTTTGTTGTCCTTAAGCCATTTTGCCACAACTTTGGAAGTATGCTTGGGGTCATTGTCCATTTGGAAGACCCATTTGCGACCAATCTTTAACTTCCTGACTGATGTCTTGAGATGTTGCTTCAATATATCCACATAATTTTCCTTCCTCATGATGCCATTTATTTTGTGAGGTGCACCAGTCCCTCCTGCATCAAAGCACCCCAACAGCATGATGCTGCCACCCCCGTGCTTCACGGTTGGGATGGTGTTCTTCGGATATAGATACTTTTGTACCTGTTTCCTCCATCATCTTCACAAGGTCATTTGCTGTTGTTCTGAGATTGATTTGCACTTTTCGCACCAAAGTACGTTCATCTCTAGGAGACAGAACGCGTCTCCTTCCTGAGCGGTATGACGGCTGCGTGGTCCCATGGTGTTTATACTTGCATACTATTGTTTGTTCAGCTGAATGTGGTACCTTCAGGCATTTTGAAATTGCTCCCAAGGATGAACCAGACTTGTGGAGGTCTACCATTTATTTCCTGAGGTCTTGGCTGAATTATTTTGATTTTCCCATGATGTCAAGCAAAGAGGCACTGAGTTTGAAGGTAGGCTTTGAAATACATCCACAGGTACACCTCCAATTGACTCAAATGATGTAAATTAGCCTATCAGAAGCTTCTAAAGCCATGACATCATTTTCTGGAATTTGTTTAAAGGCACAGTCAACTTAGTGTATGTAAACTTCTGACCCACTGGAATTGTGATACAGTGAATTATAAGTGAAATAATCTGTCTGTAAACAATTGTTGGAAAAATTACTTGTGTCATGCACAAAGTAGATGTCATAACCGACTTGCCAAAATTATAGTTTGTTAACAAGAAATGTGTGGAGTGGTTGAAAAACGAGTTTTAATGACTCACCTAAGTGTATGTAAACTTCCGACTTCAACTATATATATATATATATATGTTGAAGTGTATATATACAGTGGGGAGAACAAGTATTTAATACACTGCCGATTTTGCAGGTTTTCCTACTTACAAAGCATGTAGAGGTCTGTAATTTTTATCATAGGTACACTTCAACTGTGAGAGACAGAATCTAAAACAAAAATCCAGAAAATCACATTGTCAATGGGCTGTGCGAAGTGCTCGATATTGGCGGGAACTGAATATGCTGTCATACACTTAGATCCAGAGCATCCCAAACATGCTCAATGGGTGACATGTCGGGTGAGTATGCAGGCCATGGAAGAACTGGGACATTTTCAGCGTCCAGGAATTGTGTACAGATCTTTGCGACATGGGGCCGTGCATTATCATGCTGAAACATGATGATATGGCGGCAGATGAATGGCCACAACAATGGGCCTCAGGATCTCGTCACGATATCTCTGTGCATTGAAATTGCCATCAATAAAATGCAATTGTATTCATTGTCTGTAGCATATGCCTGCCCATAACATAACCCCACCCCCACCATGGGGAACTGTGTTCACAATGATGACATATGCAAACCGCTCGCCCACACAACGTCATACACGTGGTCTGCGGTTGTGAGGCCAAATTCTCTAAAACTGTTGGAGGCAGCTTATGATAGAGAAATTAACATTAAATTCTCTGGCAACAACTCTGGTGGACATTCCTGCAGTCAGGACATAGTCCATTGCAACGCTCGCATCAATACTTGAGACTCTGGCATGATGATCAAACTTCACATTAGAATGGCCTGTGTAAATATATGTGTTTAATAAATGTTCTTGTATGCCTCACCTGTAATCTGTTTGTCTTACTGAAGGAGAATGCTCACTAACAGGATATAACAATGTGTGCAAATTTTAGAGAAATAAGCTTTTCGTGATGGAACATTGTAGTTATTCTATTTCCACATGAACATTGACCACTTAACATGTTGCATTTATTTTTTCAGGTTACACACGGGGAAAAGAATCTATACAACACCATGTCAGTTCTCCATTAAAAGAAAAAAATTTGGCCCATTCCCATGACAAAATTTGATCACCTACCAACCAGTAAATTCCAGCTCTCACAGACCTGTTAGTTTTTCTTTAAGAAGCCCTCCTGTTCTCCACTCATTACAAGATTTGGGGATGCTTTTCTGCAAAGGGGACAGGACGACTGCACCGTATTGAGGGGAGGATGGATGGGGCCATGTATCGTGAGATCTTGGCCAACAACCTCCTTCCCTCAGTAAGAGCATTGAAGATGGGTCGTGGCTGGGTCTTCCAGCATGACAACGACCCCAAACACACAGCCAGGGCAACTAAGGAGTGGCTCCCTAAGAAGCATCTCAAGGTCCTGGATTGGCCTAGCCAGTGTCCAGACCTGAACCCAATAGAAAATCTTTGGACGGAGCTGAAAGTCCCGAAACCTGAAGGATCTGGAGAAGGTCTGTATGGAGGAGTGGGCCAAAATCCCTGCTGCAGTGTGTGCAAACCTGGTCAAGACCTACAGGAAACGTATGATCTCTGTAATTGCAAACAAAGGTTTCTGTACCAAATATTAAGTTCTGCTTTTCTGATGTATCAAATACTTATGTCATGCAATAAAAGTCAAATGAATTACTTAAAAATCATACAATGTGATTTTCTGGATTTTTGTTTTAGATTCCGTCTCTCACAGTTGAAGTTTACCTATGATAAAGTGGTCCTCTGTAGCTCAGCTGGTAGAGCACGGCGCATGTAACGCCAAGGTAGTGGGTTCGATCCCCGGGACCACACATACACAAAAATTTATGCACGCATGACTGTAAGTCGCTTTGGATAAAAGCGTCTGCTAAATGGCATATTATTATTATTATAAAAATTACAGACCTCTTCATGCTTTGTAAGTAGGAAAACCTGCAAAATCGGCAGTGTATCAAAAACTTGTTCTCCCCACTGTATATGGTCCATTAAAAAAGCAGCTATATATATAGCTTCTTTTTTAATGGGCCATAGTATCGTGATACTGTATCATGAGACCATCATAATAGTTATGATGAATATCCATTTTTAGATTGGTCTCGTAAATTCCCATAATAATGTTGTTTTTCTGAATACAGGACGCACCTTTGTAATTTTACAGGGAACATTTCCATATGACCTTGTGGGAGAATTTGTATTGTAGCCTACATTTTTCTGTGACAGAAATGTGCAATTTGTCTTACTTACTGAACAAACACATATCACATGCATTGAAAAGATCAATGCACTTTCAGGGCAATCAGAAACCCTTGACATTTTCCATTGTTCAATTCCAAAACAGTTCTTTGTTTAATACCTTTCCTATGCAGAACCGAGAGCTACAGATTATGCGAAAGTTGGACCACTGCAATATCGTGAGGCTACGCTACTTCTTCTACTCTAGTGGTGAAAAGGTAGGTTGCCATCCATTGTTTTTGGCACACCTTAATGCAGAAATGAAAATGCTGAGGACCTGAATGGTCTGTTTCCTCTTCATATGAGTCATTTTTCCCACTACAAAGTTTATTACATTTGTAAAGAGCTTTTCATTATACAAGAATAATCTGAGTACATATTGAGTTATGACGAGTGTAGTCATTTAGCATATAGTGATTTTCAGTTGTCTTCCCCCTATACAGAAGGACGAGGTGTTTCTCAACCTGGTGCTGGACTTTGTCCCAGAGACTGTGTACAGGGTGGCCCGGCATTTCAACAAGGCCAAAAGCATCATTCCTATAATTTACGTCAAGGTAAACTCCCTCACCCTCCCTTTCACTTTCTCTCTTTCATTGTCCAACTTTTGCTTGCCCCAGTGTCTTTTCTTTGTACTTTGATTGTCTAGTATGTCATTCAACTATGAACCATACATTTATTTTTTACTCTCCCAGACAGGCTTGGCATTGACACAAAATAACCCCCCACTTATTGATTTGTTTATGGTTCTAATTGGTCTACGTCGGCCATTTTTGGTCTCCTCAGGTGTACATGTACCAGCTGTTTCGCAGCCTGGCCTATATCCATTCCCAGGGTGTCTGCCACCGAGACATCAAACCCCAGAACCTGCTAGTGGACCCTGAAACTGCCATCCTAAAGCTCTGTGACTTTGGGAGGTAAGCTGGTCAGGTATTTCCCATTTCCCTCGACACAGACATTGTGTTTAATATACTATTGAACCGATATGACTGACTGGTACCGAGTATTGAAGTAAACCTGGGTCATATGTGTCCTGACTGAATGTGTTGAATAAATGGGCTCAACCAGACACAATGTGAAATGGATCTATGCCCTTCCTTGAATGGGGTTCTGTAACACTGATCCAGTTGTCCTTAGTTACAATCTCCTACTCACACCCTTTTCATTGTGTATTTTGCCCGTAGTACATCCATTGCTGTTACTGTGCAGACACAGGGCTGCTTTCTATAGAAAGTATACACTGAACTTCTTAATTGTAAATCAATAAGTATAAATCTCATGAAGATATTTACTTCAGCATTAAAAAAGAATTTACACTGATGAGACGTGTGAGCCCCACCCCTCATTCATCGGTTTATCAAGCGCTGTATACAACAGTTTCCACCAAATGTCAAAGGGTAGTGTGGTCAGGTGGTCTCAAGGAGACGCCAAAGAGTCAGGTATAATCCCATACCACATGGTTAGACCTGCATGGCTCAGGATTAGCCTCTACTGCTGAGCATCTACTGCTTATCTTACCAGTGAAAACTGTTGCAGTGGTTAGAGATGGAAGTATTGTAAGAAGACTGTATTAGCATAACCTAGACTTGGCTTAGAAGACTGTAGTAGCTTAAGCTAGTTTTATTTTAGAAAACAAAAATCTGTAACAAACAGAGTGGACTGCGTTTTGTAGACTTTACCCTTTGCCAAAGTTTCCCCCAAAACGGTGTTGTTTAGAAGGAGTGTTTAGGGCGAAATGAGTTATTGCAGACACGCACTTCACAGAGTAAGTGTTCCCTAACGCAAATATGCAAATAAATGCTCGAAAACACCAATAGGATCTCACTAGCTCGTGCTTGGCTCTGCCCACCTCCTTCCTTGTTCTTCCCACTATGATTAATTTGCTCCCACTGGAAACGACAGGCTCTGGTCTATCTTGGGTTAGTTATACAAATCTTTGGTATTAACCTAACCTAGACTTAGCTTGGAGGACTGTATTAGCCTAACCTAGACTTGGCTTGGAGGACTGTATTAGCCTAACCTAGACTTAGCTTAGAAGACTGTATTAGCCTAACCTAGACTTAGCTTGGAGGCCTGAATTAGCATAACCTAGACTTAGCTTGGAGGACTCTATTAGCCTAACCTAGACTTTGCTTAGAGGACTCTATTAGCCTAACCTAGACTTAGCTTGGAGGACTGTATTAGCATAACCTAGACTTAGCTTGGAGGACTGTATTAGCCTAACCTAGACTTAGCTTGGAGGACTGTATTAGCCTAACCTAGACTTAGCTTGGAGGACTGTATTAGCATAACCTAGACTTAGCTTGGAGGACTCTATTAGCCTAACCTAGACTTAGCTTAGAAGACTGTATTAACCTAGACTTAGCTTGGAGGACTGTATTAGCCTAACCTAGACTTAGCTTGGAGGACTATATTAGCCTAACCTAGACTTCGCTTGGAGGACTGTATTAGCCTAACCTAGACTTAGCTTAGAAGACTGTATTAACCTAGACTTAGCTTAGAAGACTGTATTAGTCTAACCTTCAACCTCTGCGGTTTACCCCTACCATCAGCGCTAAGCAGCTGATTCGTGGGGAGCCCAATGTGTCGTACATCTGCTCGCGGTACTACCGCGCCCCAGAGCTCATCTTCGGCGCCACCGACTACACGGCCAACATCGACATCTGGTCGGCGGGCTGCGTGTTGGCCGAACTGCTACTGGGACAGCCCATCTTCCCTGGGGACAGTGGAGTGGACCAGCTAGTGGAGATCATCAAGGTGAGTAAATAGGAAGAATGTCTGTTTGTATATGGTTTACACTACAGGGACAAAATACCTGACATTCTGATTGCATACAAACATTAGGAGGACATTTGGCTTATGAGGATATTTTGTGTGAGTGGTGGGGGAAAGCTAGGGGAGTAATAATCAGTGACGTGGAGAAAAACAAAATAACAACCATTGTACACTGCTAACTGTATACTTGTATGTCTGCTACTTAGGTTTTGGGAACTCCGACGCGGGAACAGATCCGAGAAATGAACCCCAACTACACAGAGTTCAAATTCCCCCAAATCAAAGCACATCCCTGGTCAAAGGTAAATGGTTATCAAAAACATTTTGTTATATTTTTGGCTTTCAAGTAATGTCTTTCTTTTTTATGAAACTGTTTCATGTTGTGTGTACTTGTACCTCCTCTCGCAGGTGTTTAAGCCTCGCACCCCTCCAGAGGCCATCGCCCTGTGCTCGCGCCTGCTGGAGTACACCCCGGTCACGCGCTTCTCGCCCCTGGAGGCCTGCGCTCACGCCTTCTTCGACGAGCTGCGCCAGCCCAACGCCCGGCTGCCTAGCGGCCGAGAGCTGCCCCTGCTCTTCAACTTCAGCACCACCGGTCAGTACACCTTGTTGACCCCTGGCCTTTTGTGACCCAAAAGTGGTTGATTCAATTTAGGGAATCAATTGAAACTCCCATTCAAGACCTGACCCCAACTTTGTTTTGTGACCCATGCATATATTCTGCTTTTCTTATATTTGTTTTTCTCTCCTATCCTTCCAGAGCTGTCAATCCAGCCCCAACTGAACTCCACCCTAATTCCTCCTCATGCCCGCGCACAGACCGCTTCATCTGGTATGACAGCCCCCCCCCCCCGGTCTCCAAACATAGTCATTGGCTACCCATGTCACTTCAGTGCCTCACAGTGGATAGAGTAGCTGTCAATCATTCATTTCCATATCTGCACCTAGTGTCATGGAGTAGTAATTGGCTTGCAGACATTCTAGGTTAGGTGGAGCTGTAGGCTAAATCCAAATGCAATGAAGGGAAGAAATGGATAGTAAGATGACTGCTTTTACAAATGGCAAAAATAATGTCGCCTCCCTTATCACTTTGACTATTCTTTGCCCATGTTTCTGGTCATTGTAACGTTTCTGTATAAGACAGCAGCCAGCCAAAGGGGCTCCAGCCTGAGAACCACACCTGTGTCTCTTTCTGCATTAATAACCACACCTTTGTGCATTGTAAATGTTTGTAGCCTTAAGGAGGTCCTCTAACTGGAAATCTGGAGAAACATTTTCTGATCAGTTTTAGTGGAGGTCTTACTACGATTAGCTGCGTAATTGCATATGTTTACAGTTTATTCAATTATATCTCTCCTCTTCTCTACCACATTCCTCTCTTTCCTCTATCCCTCAGTAGATGGCTCTGGGATAGACGGCTCCTCTCAGCACAGTTCAGTACCCGGATCACTCAACAACAGCACCTGAAACATCCCTGCAAACCCTCTGTTTGTCTGCCAGCCCGACCACACACACACACACACTGTATTGCTTATTTCTCCCTCGCTGCTTGTTATTTCTCCCCATTGGTTACAAACATCCCTTTTTGTACTGTACATACATTGAACAAACCATTCATACAGTTAGAGAGTATCATTAGCTGACAAGGTAGTTTTGTTACATTCTATTGAAACTAGATCAGCTCTACAGGCAGAGAGTTGGACACACACACACACACACAAACACACACACACACACACACTTATGTACTGACGACACCTTAAGTATTATTCCACTCCCTCACTGCATCTCCTTTGGCCCAGCTGTCTCGTTCTCTCTATGCCTGTTTATAACACTCATGTTCCTGCTGTTGGGGGTGGCATTTGAAGGTTCACTAGGTGGGGCAGGTCCTCTGTATAATAATTGTTTTTTTAATCAAGGTTTTTTGTTGTCTTTTTATTCTAATGTTTATTTATTTGACTGAAGACTTCATGAAGAGTTCTGCCACCACCACACACAAAGTAAACAGGAGTTTGTCTCTAGAAGCTAATTGAGGTGCTTCCCAGTTAGAATAATTTGGTTGCATTGTAGACAAATGGGATAATATGGTTCTGGTTGCAAGATGGAGGGAGGAAGAGGCTGTGGTTTTTATACTTTTTATAAAATTATATTTAAAAAGATGAAATGCCAGCTGCTTTTTTATTTTACTTGTAAATGTATTTATAATTTTTTAATTTGCTTCGAAGGCACTGTGAATTTTTACATGGAAAGGGGCGTTCAAGTTATAATTGGTAGCCATACTTGCTAGCAAATTCCCAGTGTGTGTGTGTTCTTTGAGGACCTGAAGGAAAGGTTTTGACAGATGGTGAGGGTGGTGGTGTTTGTGTGGAAACGGAGACATCCATGATTCACATCTATGTAGCAGCATCTCTCCCACTGACAGTCCCAAACTGAGCCCCCCTTTACTGTCAATGGGAAGACAATCAAATACAGGAATCAAGGTCCTATGGATGGTTAAGACTGCTGAGGTAGTGAAATGTCGCCTTCCTATTGGCTTCAATATATGGCATACCATAAATATCTTGTATGGTGAGGTTACATGTTTGATTTCAAAATCAGGTTCTGGCTAATTTGGCACTCATGCATTCATAGCATGAACTCTTCAGAACTCCTGATTTGTAAGAGGGACCTTTTTTTGAAATGATATACACGCCGTGAATAAAGTGGACTTCCTGCAGCACACTTGTAAGAATCTTTGTCAGTGTTCCACCCATCTAGAGGACAAAGGAATTATCAAATATGGGTTCAGCCATATGGACATAAATATATCCTATGGAGTAATTGACTCCAGTTTGGACTTTGAAACAGACCATGATTCCAGTTACGTTCTATTCATTCTCAAATGGGAGTCAAGTTCGTGTGTGTGAAGACGTATACTCTGTTACTGGTGTAGTATGGCGGATAGCGAGTTCATAGTAGTTCTACAGTCTATGTGCTTGTGGGAGTGAATGAGAAATTGAAGTGGGTGGGGGAATGGCTGAGTATTTGTGTGTGATGATAATGTGTGTTGTTCATGTGAATAATTGTACTCCAATCCAATCTGCACCGTTTAAAAAGCCAGTGTTGTAGGTTTAGATCAGTTCTCAGTACTGACCACTTGAAAGCTTTCTAGTGCAAGAGTCTTATGATATTGTACCAACTCTACCACCCCCTTGTATAAACAACCCTCATGTGCTGACATAGATTTAAATAACACATTTTTCCTCCCTTTCTCTCTGAAGCCATCTTCTTCCTAGCCCGGAATCCCAACTGATTTGCGTGAAATGGAGCATATCGTTTTGGATTCCGGTTTCTTCCTGCCCTGTAAATATCACCTTTTTATTTCTTTCTCATTCTTTTTATTACAGTGTTTTTTCTTTTCCGTTACCTGTTGAAGCCGGTCTTGACAGACCAGTTTCATTTCCATTCAATAGTCTGTAAATACAATTAGTTTAAATGTCCTGATTTCAAGATGTAAATAACCCCCCCAAAACAAGTTCCAATTTTTTCTCAGTTTGTTGATGTCTCTCTCTCTCTCCATCTCTCTCTGGTTGTGTGCCCCTATAACGTGATTGTACTGTATCTCAACGCTTTATTTATTACTCACTTGGTGTTCTGGTGTAGGGAGAGGTTGAGGCACCGACTGTTTTGTGGGCATTATGTAAAATGTTCCAGTATACAAGTACTGTACTTGGCACCCACAACATTGGTATTTTTTTAATAGGGAAAAACACTGTAAGTGTTTGGTTGGACATATCAGAATTTGTTCAGACTATATCTGTGGTAAGATTCCAACTAATACATTTCCCTGGTCTGAATTATTTTTAACCTTAAGTCACCTATGTACTGACCTTTGACAGGGAAATGTGATAGTGGGCTATTTGAGTTTACCAGACAACCATTTGGCCAATGCACTGCCCCTGTACCCATTCATTACAATGGGCACCTAATGTAAGATATTTAAAGTGTGTGAAAGTGCCATGTTGTGATGCAGAGAAGCCATAATACCTTTATTTACCCACTGAATGTGAAGGGTAAACCTGAGGGCCATGATGGCGACACAGGGTCAGATGGTGCAGCCAGCCTCCCTCCCTTGACAATGCCTACGCCCATCACGGACAATTCCGACTTCTGCTGTGTTCAAAATGTCAGCCATGGACAAAATGCAGCGACTGCAGTATGAGCCAGTTATCAACCCCCTCCCTCCTGTTCTGTGTGTGTTGATGTACATGCCTATCTGTTGGTTTCATAACTCAGCAGTATCAGGCTACTAGCCAATTATCCTATAAGTACCATGTTTTGTGTATCTCCATGTGTATAGCAAACCAAGTGAGGTCACTTTAATAACGTTCTGTGAGTAAAACTTGTATCAATAATTTGTCATTCCAATCCTGTTTCTATTGCGTCATCCTGGCCAGGAGACCTGGAGTTTTTGGGATGATGGAGGGAGGAGAGTGAAGGAGGGAGAGAACCCAATTGTTTGTCTGTATGAAATGAGCTCATTTAATAAAGTGATAACTCCTGTGAACCCATGTTGTTACTGTGTCAGACTGAGTAACATGTTAGAAATATCACTTTCACATTTCACCCTTTGGTCATTTTTGATGAAAGAACAAACATATCCTACAAATCCAGAAGTATTGATTGCTAATAGTCACACAGCAGCTCCAATGGAAGTTTATTTCTGCATATTTATCATTATCAGTTCATTATTTTTCATCAACAACACAAGTGCAGAGACCAGCAATCCAACAGTGTTTCTATGGAATCATCCTCAACAGCCACTTACATCTGAATCTTTCTACAACCTTGACTCCGGGGTAGACGTAATTGGTTTTTGAGGTCCTCCTGTTGGCTGCAGTTACAATTAGCGGTTTTAAAGCAAATTCCCTGCAATTCTACACATCTTGCCATGGGGCTGAGAGAATTTGCTGTTTTAAAGTTTATTTACTGCAATGATATCTGAGTGTGTCAAACATAACAAAATCCATTGAGGCCTCATGCCATGACAAAAATACTCAGAATGCATAATAGCTTTTAGTTTAGTAATTGTTAGTTCCCAAATATTATCTTATTTAAGTTATCTTGTCTACATACTTTATATCTGGTTTTAGACGTTTTAAGTTTACACTGAAAACATTTTCCATCCCAATTTTTTTTATTTCTAAAATAAAATGGATACAGTGCTGTGAAAAAGTATTTGCCCCCTTTCAAATGTTCTTAACATTCAGTATGAAAAATATGCAAAAGTTATCAGGTCTTTAACCAAAACCTAATATTAGATAAAGAGAACCTGAGTGAACGAATAACACAACAATTACATACTTAATTCATAAACCAAGTTATGCAACACTCAATGCCCCTGTGTGAAAAAGTAATTGCAATGACTCCAACCACTTCCTGTAGTTGTTGATCAATCTCACGTCACTGTGGAGGAAATTTGGCCCACTCTTCCATGCAGAACTGCTTTAACTCAGTGACATTTGGGGGTTTTCAAGCATGAACTGCTTGTTTCAAATCCTGCCACAACATCTCAGTTGGGAATAGGTCTGGACTTTGACTAGGCCATTCCAAAACTTCAAATGTGTTTCTTTTTAGCCATTTTCATGTAGACTTGATTGTGTGTTTTGGATCATTGTCTTGCTGCATGACCCAGCTACGCTTCAGCTTCAGCTCACAAACAGATGAACTGACATTCTCCTGTAGAATTCTCTGATACAGAGCAGAATTCAGGGTTCCTTCTATTAAGGCAAGTCGTCCAGGTCCTGAGGCAGCAAAGCATCCCCAAACCATCACACTACCACCACCATGCTTGACTGTTGTTAGTCTGGATTGCAGTGTTTGGTTTTCGCCAGGCATAATGGGACCCATGTCGTCCAAAAAGTTATACTTTTGACTCAACTGTCCATAGAACATTCTTCAAAGAGTCTTGATGATCTTCCAGGTGCTTTTTGACAAAGTTGAGTCAACTTTTTGGACGAGATGGGTTTATTTTTAAATTTAATTTTCCGTACTGTTTGGACATAAGGGTGCCCGAAAGAAAACACTTAGGTGGCCCGCCCAAGACTTTTCTTTGCAGAAAAAACCCTGGGTATGTATTAATTTATGGGTGTCCTTCACACATTTCGTATGATATGTTACGAATTCTAATTAGCTAGGTCGCTAACGTTAGCTAGGTTAAGGTTATTGTTAGAATGCTTTGTTATTGTTTCGATTGCTGATTGCCCCTTTAAGGTATTTTTGTTGCAATTCTAATTGAATACCACGTAAATTCTCCACTTCATAAGTGATGTACCCTCCAAGCTCATCATTAAGCTCGGGGCCCTCGGTCTGAACCCCGCCCTGTGCAACTGGGTCCAGGACTTCCTGACGGGCCGCCCCCAGGTGGTGAAGGTAAGAAACAACACCTCCACTAAGTTGATCCTCAACACAAAGGAGCTGATCGTGGACTTCAGGAGACAGAGGTAGCACGCCCCCATCCACATCGACAGGACCAGTTCTTGTTTCAGAGCCTTTGCTGGAGAAAAACACTGCGAAAAAAGCATAGTTAGCTGCACTTGTTTTGAATTTGGCCAGTATGATAGTAACTTTTTCACACTGCTGAGATGAGTCGAACTGCACTGGGCTGGCCTGGTTACAAATCCACCATAGTTGCTGGAACTGTGCTGGGAAAGGCAATGTGAAAAGAAGATATCTGAGCCAGCACATTATAGTTTGGGTCGGCAAAGTGTATAGAACAGTCCTATGAACATTGCAAAGGCAGCTTTGATTTCATGTGTTTTCTTGTCTTTAACTGTATACTCTATAGAGCCCATTGAGAAGACAATGGACTTTGAGCAGGCTTTGCATCTGGGTAATTGTAGTTTTTAAACTCTGTCTATGAAACTTATGTCAGTCGATTCATCTGCAGCACCACTAGGTAGACACCTCTCACAGGTTGATACTTCTACTAATCAGAATAAGAATTGTGTGCAGGGGCGGTTGTTTGTGAACAACATTGCTATGACTGGTCCATTTGAATTCCTGCCTGTCTGTCCTTCTTCCAGGAGCTAAGGTGGCAGAGGAGGCCGTAGCGGCAGCAGAGAACAGGAACCAATGCCCCACAGGCTGGTTCCAACTTGGATCGCGCTGCTTCAAGTACATCGAGAATGCAAGGACATGGCCCCTAGCAGAGGTATCATGGTTACTCTCTACTGTGAATTAAAGGGAAAGTTTAATCGAAATCAGCTCGCTTATTTGGTTCGAGGTTACCCTTAAAGGTGATTTGCCCTTTTTTTTTTTGAGGCACTGCATGCGTCATGTAAAATACTGAATCTCCCCTTTAAGTTAGTTTTATTGGAATTTTCTTTAAGCGTGGAATATTTATTGATATATTTATATTATGTAAGGCCTACTGTATATTGGAACCCACAGGACATTGGTTAAGACAGAGATCATCTAATATATCTAAGAGCATTTTTAAAGAGCATTAATTGCGATGGACAATATTTGATTGTGAGAGTCCAGAAGATAAGTTATCACAGACTGGACTACTGACTAATACTTACATTATGAAATGTCTTTGTCCCTGTCTACCTCTCACTGTAGCGCCACTATGTGTCCCTTGGAGCAAACCTGGTGTCTGTGCACAGCTCTGCGGAGGATCAGTTTCTACAGGTTGTGGTGGGGTGCAAGGCTGGCGGTTTCTCTCCTACCTGGATTGGAGGATTTTATGCTGTTCAGGTGGAGTATACTCACAGATCAACAGTATCTTTGGTATACTCATCAATATCTCAAGGGTCACTGGTAAAGTCAGATCTAGGTTTGGAAGATCTTATAGATGTGCTAAAAAAACAACAACAACACTGCAGTATCCACTGGCACACTATTATAATAATAATAATAATAATAGTAATATGGGATTGCTTTGATACTGAGACCTCACTTCTTCACCACAGGACAGGCTATGGTTTTGGAGTGACGGCTCCAAATTTGATTACCAGAACTGGAAGAAAGGAGAGCCCAATAATAGCGGTGGCAGAGAGCCATGTATGGTGATGAACTGGGGAGGTACAGTAGGCCCACTATCATTCACTGATACATTCATCAAATTAAACTTTATTCATAGTACATTTAACAAATAAAACTGACACACACACCACACACCGCAAACACACTATTATATTGTTGTGTGAACATCTGAGATTATTTGAGAGGTAATTTCTGTTCTGTTTCCTTTTAAAATGAATACTGCTGGAACGATATAAACTGTGGAAACAGCTTTCCCTCTGTGTGCTCCAAAATAATCTGTGAAATCCAGAGAAACTGAAACCATAAATGCTACTCCATAGTGTCAGCATCCAACTGAACACTTTTTATGGTAAAGTCAAATATTTAGTAAAGTTTATTTGTTGCTGTAAATTGTAAATTGAGTTAGTTGTTGTTCATAAATGTTGAGTAATGGTTTTGTTGTTTATATTTAAAAGGGTTTTTGTCTAGTATGTCATTCAACTATGAACCATACATTTATTTTTTTAATCTCCCAGACAGGATTGGCATATTGACACCCAAAAATAACCCCCCACTTATTGAGTTTGTTGATGGGTTCTAATTGGTCTACGTCGGCCATTTTTGGTCTCCTCAGGTTGTACATGTACCAGCTGTTTCGCAGCCTGGCCTATATCCATTCCCAGGGTGTCTGCCACCGAGACATCAAACCCCCCAGAACCTGCTAGTGGACCCTGAAACTGCCATCCTAAAGCTCTGTGACTTTGGAGGTAAGCTGGTCAGGTATTTCCCATTTCCCTCGACACAGACATTGTGTTTAATATACTATTGAAACGATATGACTGACTGGTACCGAGTATTGAAGTAAACCTGGGTCATATGTGTCCTGACTGAATGTGTTGAATAAATGGGCTCAACCAGACCACAATGTGAAATGGATCTATGCCCTTCCTTGAATGGGGTTCTGTAACATGATCCAGTTGTCCTTAGTTACAATCTCCTACTCACACCCTTTTCATGTGTATTTTGCCCGTAGTACATCCATTGCTTGTTACTGTGCAGGACACAGGGCTGCTTTCTATAGAAAGTATACACTGAACTTCTTAATTGTAAATCAATAAGTATAAATCTCATGAAGATATTTACTTCAGCATTAAAAAAGAATTTACACTGATGAGACGTGTGAGCCCCACCCCTCATTCATCGGTTTATCAAGCGCTGTATACAACAGTTTCCACCAAATGTCAAAGGGTAGTGTGGTCAGGTGGTCTCAAGGAGACGCCAAAGAGTCAGGTATAATCCCATACCACATGGTTAGACCTGCATGGCTCAGGATTAGCCTCTACTGCTGAGCATCTACTGCTTATCTTACCAGTGAAAACTGTTGCAGTGGTTAGAGATGGAAGTATTGTAAGAGACTGTATTAGCATAACCTAGACTTGGCTTAGAAGACTGTAGTAGCTTAAGCTAGTTTTATTTTAGAAAACAAAAATCTGTAACAAACAGAGTGGACTGCGTTTTGTAGACTTTACCCTTTGCCAAAGTTTCCCCCCAAAACGGTGTTGTTTAGAAGGAGTGTTTAGGGCGAAATGAGTTATTGCAGACACGCACTTCACAGAGTAAGTGTTCCCTAACGCAAATATGCAAATAAATGCTCGAAAACACCAATAGGATCTCACTAGCTCGTGCTTGGCTCTGCCCACCTCCTTCCTTGTCTTCCCACTATGATTAATTTGCTCCCACTGGAAACGACAGGCTCTGGTCTATCTTGGGTTAGTTATACAAATCTTTGGTATTAACCTAACCTAGACTTAGCTTGGAGGACTGTATTAGCCTAACCTAGACTTGGTTGGAGGACTGTATTAGCCTAACCTAGACTTAGCTTAGAAGACTGTATTAGCCTAACCTAGACTTAGCTTGGAGGCCTGAATTTAGCATAACCTAGACTTAGCTTGGAGGACTCTATTAGCCTAACCTAGACTTTAGCTTAGAGGACTCTATTAGCCTAACCTAGACTTAGCTTGGAGGGACTGTATTAGCATAACCTAGACTTAGCTTGGAGGACTGTATTAGCCTAACCTAGACTTAGCTTGGAGGACTGTATTAGCCTAACCTAGACTTAGCTTGGAGGACTGTATTAGCATAACCTAGACTTAGCTTGGAGGACTCTATTAGCCTAACCTAGACTTAGCTTAGAAAGACTGTATTAACCTAGACTTAGCTTGGAGGACTGTATTAGCCTAACCTAGACTTAGATGGAGGACTATATTAGCCTAACCTAGACTTCGCTTGGAGGACTGTATTAGCCTACCTAGACTTAGCTTAGAAGACTGTATTAACCTAGACTTAGCTTAGAAGACTGTATTAGTCTAACCTTCAACCTCTGCGGTTTACCCCTACCATCAGCGCTAAGCAGCTGATTCGTGGGGAGCCCAATGTGTCGTACATCTGCTCGCGGTACTACCGCGCCCCAGAGCTCATCTTCGGCGCCCACCGACTACACGGCCAACATCGACATCTGGTCGGCGGGCTGCGTGTTGGCCGAACTGCTACTGGGACAGCCCATCTTCCCTGGGGACAGTGGAGTGGACCAGCTAGTGGAGATCATCAAGGTGAGTAAATAGGAAGAATGTCTGTTTGTATATGGTTTACACTACAGGGACAAAATACCTGACATTCTGATTGCATACAAACATTAGGAGGACATTTGGCTTATGAGGATATTTTGTGTGAGTGGTGGGGGAAAGCTAGGGGAGTAATAATCAGTGACGTGGAGAAAAACAAAATAACAACCATTGTACACTGCTAACTGTATACTTGTATGTCTGCTACTTAGGTTTTGGGAACTCCGACGCGGGAACAGATCCGAGAAATGAACCCCAACTACACAGAGTTCAAATTCCCCCAAATCAAAGCACATCCCTGGTCAAAGGTAAATGGTTATCAAAAACATTTTGTTATATTTTTGGCTTTCAAGTAATGTCTTTCTTTTTTATGAAACTGTTTCATGTTGTGTGTACTTGTACCTCCTCTCGCAGGTGTTTAAGCCTCGCACCCCTCCAGAGGCCATCGCCCTGTGCTCGCGCCTGCTGGAGTACACCCCGGTCACGCGCTTCTCGCCCCTGGAGGCCTGCGCTCACGCCTTCTTCGACGAGCTGCGCCAGCCCAACGCCCGGCTGCCTAGCGGCCGAGAGCTGCCCCTGCTCTTCAACTTCAGCACCACCGGTCAGTACACCTTGTTGACCCCTGGCCTTTTGTGACCCAAAAGTGGTTGATTCAATTTAGGGAATCAATTGAAACTCCATTCAAGACCTGACCCCAACTTTGTTTTGTGACCCATGCATATATTTCTGCTTTTCTTATATTTGTTTTTCTCTCCTATCCTTCCAGAGCTGTCAATCCAGCCCCAACTGAACTCCACCCTAATTCCTCCTCATGCCCGCGCACAGACCGCTTCATCTGGTATGACAGCCCCCCCCCCCCGGTCTCCAAACATAGTCATTGGCTACCCATGTCACTTCAGTGCCTCACAGTGGATAGAGTAGCTGTCAATCATTCATTTCCATATCTGCACCTAGTGTCATGGAGTAGTAATTGGCTTGCAGACATTCTAGGTTAGGTGGAGCTGTAGGCTAAATCCAAATGCAATGAAGGGAAGAAATGGATAGTAAGATGACTGCTTTTACAAATGGCAAAAATAATGTCGCCTCCCTTATCACTTTGACTATTCTTTGCCCATGTTTCTGGTCATTGTAACGTTTCTGTATAAGACAGCAGCCAGCCAAAGGGGCTCCAGCCTGAGAACCACACCTGTGTCTCTTTCTGCATTAATAACCACACCTTTGTGCATTGTAAATGTTTGTAGCCTTAAGGAGGTCCTCTAACTGGAAATCTGGAGAAACATTTTCTGATCAGTTTTAGTGGAGGTCTTACTACGATTAGCTGTGTAATTGCATATGTTTACAGTTTATTCAATTATATCTCTCCTCTTCTCTACCACATTCCTCTCTTTCCTCTATCCCTCAGTAGATGGCTCTGGGATAGACGGCTCCTCTCAGCACAGTTCAGTACCCGGATCACTCAACAACAGCACCTGAAACATCCCTGCAAACCCTCTGTTTGTCTGCCAGTCCAACCACACATACACACACTGTATTGCTTATTTCTCCCTCGCTGCTTGTTATTTCTCCCCATTGGTTACAAACATCCCTTTTTGTACTGTACATACATTGAACAAACCATTCATACAGTTAGAGAGTATCATTAGCTGACAAGGTAGTTTTGTTACATTCTATTTAAACTAGATCAGCTCTACAGGCAGAGAGTTGGACACACACACACACACACAAACACACACACACACACACTTATGTACTGACGACACCTTAAGTATTATTCCACTCCCTCACTGCATCTCCTTTGGCCCAGCTGTCTCGTTCTCTCTATGCCTGTTTATAACACTCATGTTCCTGCTGTTGGGGTGGCATTTGAAGGTTCACTAGGTGGGGCAGGTCCTCTGTATAATAATTGTTTTTTTAATCAAGGTTTTTGTTGTCTTTTTATTCTAATGTTTATTTATTTGACTGAAGACTTCATGAAGAGTTCTGCCACCACCACACACAAAGTAAACAGGAGTTTGTCTCTAGAAGCTAATTGAGGTGCTTCCCAGTTAGAATAATTTGGTTGCATTGTAGACAAATGGGATAAAATGGTTCTGGTTGCAAGATGGAGGGAGGAAGAGGCTGTGGTTTTTATACTTTTTATAAAATTATATTTAAAAAGATGAAATGCCAGCTGCTTTTTTATTTTACTTGTAAATGTATTTATAATTTTTTAATTTGCTTCGAAGGCACTGTGAATTTTTACATGGAAAGGGGCGTTCAAGTTATAATTGGTAGCCATACTTGCTAGCAAATTCCCAGTGTGTGTGTGTTCTTTGAGGACCTGAAGGAAAGGTTTTGACAGATGGTGAGGGTGGTGGTGTTTGTGTGGAAACGGAGACATCCATGATTCACATCTATGTAGCAGCATCTCTCCCACTGACAGTCCCAAACTGAGCCCCCCTTTACTGTCAATGGGAAGACAATCAAATACAGGAATCAAGGTCCTATGGATGGTTAAGACTGCTGTGGTAGTGAAATGTCGCCTTCCTATTGGCTTCAATATATGGCATACCATAAATATCTTGTATGGTGAGGTTACATGTTTGATTTCAAAATCAGGTTCTGGCTAATTTGGCACTCATGCATTCATAGCATGAACTCTTCAGAACTCCTGATTTGTAAGAGGGACCTTTTTTTGAAATGATATACACGCCGTGAATAAAGTGGACTTCCTGCAGCACACTTGTAAGAATCGTTGTCAGTGTTCCACCCATCTAGAGGACAAAGGAATTATCAAATATGGGTTCAGCCATATGGACATAAATATATCCTATGGAGTAGTTGACTCCAGTTTGGACTTTGAAACAGACCATGATTCCAGTTACGTTCTATTCATTCTCAAATGGGAGTCAAGTTCGTGTGAAGACGTATACTTTGTTACTGGTGTAGTATGGCGGATAGCGAGTTCATAGTAGTTCTACAGTCTATGTGCTTGTGGGAGTGAATGAGAAATTGAAGTGGGTGGGGGAATGGCTGAGTATTTGTGTGTGATGATAATGTGTGTTGTTCATGTGAATAATTGTACTCCAATCCAATCTGCACCGTTTAATAAGCCAGTGTTGTAGGTTTAGATCAGTTCTCAGTACTGACCACTTGAAAGCTTTCTAGTGCAAGAGTCTTATGATATTGTACCAACTCTACCACCCCCTTGTATAAACAACCCTCATGTGCTGACATAGATTTAAATAACACATTTTTCCTCCCTTTCTCTCTGAAGCCATCTTCTTCCTAGCCCGGAATCCCAACTGATTTGCGTGAAATGGAGCATATCGTTTTGGATTCCGGTTTCTTCCTGCCCTGTAAATATCACCTTTTTATTTCTTTCTCATTCTTTTTATTACAGTGTTTTTTCTTTTCCGTTACCTGTTGAAGCCGGTCTTGACTGACCAGTTTCATTTCCATTCAATAGTCTGTAAATACAATTAGTTTAAATGTCCTGATTTCAAGATGTAAATAACCCCACCCAAAAAAAGTTCCACTTTTTTCTCCGTTTGTTGATGTCTCTCTCTCTCTCCATCTCTCTCTGGTTGTGTGCCCCTATAACGTGATTGTACTGTATCTCAACGCTTTATTTATTACTCACTTGGTGTTCTGGTGTAGGGAGAGGTTGAGGCACCGACTGTTTTGTGGGCATTATGTAAAATGTTCCAGTATACAAGTACTGTACTTGGCACCCACAACATTGGTATTTTTTGAATAGGGAAAAACACTGTAAGTGTTTGGTTGGACATATCAGAATTTGTTCAGACTATATCTGTGGTAAGATTCCAACTAATACATTTCCCTGGTCTGAATTTTTTTAAACCTTAAGTCACCTATGTACTGACCTTTGACAGGGAAATGTGATAGTGGGCTATTTGAGTTTACCAGACAACCATTTGGCCAATGCACTGCCCCTGTACCCATTCATTACAATGGGCACCTAATGTAAGAGATTTAAAGTGTGTGAAAGTGCCATGTTGTGATGCAGAGAAGCCATAATACCTTTATTTACCCACTGAATGTGAAGGGTAAACCTGAGGGCCATGATGGCGACACAGGGTCAGATGGTGCAGCCAGCCTCCCTCCCTTGACAATGCCTACACCCATCACGGACAATTCCGACTTCTGCTGTGTTCAAAATGTCAGCCATGGACAAAATGCAGCGACTGCAGTATGAGCCAGTTATCAACCCCCTCCCTCCTGTTCTGTGTGTGTTGATGTACATGCCTATCTGTTGGTTTCATAACTCAGCAGTATCAGGCTACTAGCCAATTATCCTATAATTACCATGTTTTGTGTATCTCCATGTGTATAGCAAACCAAGTGAGGTCACTTTAATAATGTTCTGTGAGTAAAACTTGTATCAATAATTTGTCATTCCAATCCTGTTTCTATTGCGTCATCCTGGCCAGGAGACCTGGAGTTTTTGGGATGATGGAGGGAGGAGAGTGAAGGAGGGAGAGAACCCAATTGTTTGTCTGTATGAAATGAGCTCATTTAATAAAGTGATAACTCCTGTGAGCCCATGTTGTTACTGTGTCAGACTGAGTAACATGTTAGAAATATCACTTTCACATTTCACCCTTTGGTCATTTTTGATGAAAGAACAAACATATCCTACAAATCCAGAAGTATTGATTGCTAATAGTCACACAGCAGCTCCAATGGAAGTTTATTTCTGCATATTTATCATTATCAGTTCATTATTTTTCATCAACAACACAAGTGCAGAGACCAGCAATCCAACAGTGTTTCTATGGAATCATCCTCAACAGCCACTTACATCTGAATCTTTCTACAACCTTGACTCCGGGGTAGACGTAATTGGTTTTTGAGGTCCTCCTGTTGGCTGCAGTTACAATTAGCGGTTTTAAAGCAAATTCCCTGCAATTCTACACATCTTGCCATGGGGCTGAGAGAATTTGCTGTTTTAAAGTTTATTTACTGCAATGATATCTGAGTGTGTCAAACATAACAAAATCCATTGAGGCCTCATGCCATGACAAAAATACTCAGAATGCATAATAGCTTTTAGTTTAGTAATTGTTAGTTCCCAAATATTATCTTATTTAAGTTATCTTGTCTACATACTTTATATCTGGTTTTAGACGTTTTAAGTTTACACTGAAAACATTTTCCATCCCAATTTTTTTTATTTCTAAAATAAAATGGATACAGTGCTGTGAAAAAGTATTTGCCCCCTTTCAAATGTTCTTAACATTCAGTATGAAAAATATGCAAAAGTTATCAGGTCTTTAACCAAAACCTAATATTAGATAAAGAGAACCTGAGTGAACGAATAACACAACAATTACATACTTAATTCATAAACCAAGTTATGCAACACTCAATGCCCCTGTGTGAAAAAGTAATTGCAATGACTCCAACCACTTCCTGTAGTTGTTGATCAATCTCACGTCACTGTGGAGGAAATTTGGCCCACTCTTCCATGCAGAACTGCTTTAACTCAGTGACATTTGGGGGTTTTCAAGCATGAACTGCTTGTTTCAAATCCTGCCACAACATCTCAGTTGGGAATAGGTCTGGACTTTGACTAGGCCATTCCAAAACTTCAAATGTGTTTCTTTTTAGCCATTTTCATGTAGACTTGATTGTGTGTTTTGGATCATTGTCTTGCTGCATGACCCAGCTACGCTTCAGCTTCAGCTCACAAACAGATGAACTGACATTCTCCTGTAGAATTCTCTGATACAGAGCAGAATTCAGGGTTCCTTCTATTAAGGCAAGTCGTCCAGGTCCTGAGGCAGCAAAGCATCCCCAAACCATCACACTACCACCACCATGCTTGACTGTTGTTAGTCTGGATTGCAGTGTTTGGTTTTCGCCAGGCATAATGGGACCCATGTCGTCCAAAAAGTTATACTTTTGACTCAACTGTCCATAGAACATTCTTCAAAGAGTCTTGATGATCTTCCAGGTGCTTTTTGACAAAGTTGAGTCAACTTTTTGGACGAGATGGGTTTATTTTTAAATTTAATTTTCCGTACTGTTTGGACATAAGGGTGCCCGAAAGAAAACACTTAGGTGGCCCGCCCAAGACTTTTCTTTGCAGAAAAAACCCTGGGTATGTACCGGTATTAATTTATGGGTGTCCTTCACACATTTCGTATGATATGTTACGAATTCTAATTAGCTAGGTCGCTAACGTTAGCTAGGTTAAGGTTATTGTTAGAATGCTTTGTTATTGTTTCGATTGCTGATTGCCCCTTTAAGGTATTTTTGTTGCAATTCTAATTGAATACCACGTAAATTCTCCACTTCATAAGTGATGTACCCTCCAAGCTCATCATTAAGCTCGGGGCCCTCGGTCTGAACCCCGCCCTGTGCAACTGGGTCCAGGACTTCCTGACGGGCCGCCCCCAGGTGGTGAAGGTAAGAAACAACACCTCCACTAAGTTGATCCTCAACACAAAGGAGCTGATCGTGGACTTCAGGAGACAGAGGTAGCACGCCCCCATCCACATCGACAGGACCAGTTCTTGTTTCAGAGCCTTTGCTGGAGAAAAACACTGCGAAAAAAGCATAGTTAGCTGCACTTGTTTTGAATTTGGCCAGTATGATAGTAACTTTTTCACACTGCTGAGATGAGTCGAACTGCACTGGGCTGGCCTGGTTACAAATCCACCATAGTTGCTGGAACTGTGCTGGGAAAGGCAATGTGAAAAGAAGATATCTGAGCCAGCACATTATAGTTTGGGTCGGCAAAGTGTATAGAACAGTCCTATGAACATTGCAAAGGCAGCTTTGATTTCATGTGTTTTCTTGTCTTTAACTGTATACTCTATAGAGCCCATTGAGAAGACAATGGACTTTGAGCAGGCTTTGCATCTGGGTAATTGTAGTTTTTAAACTCTGTCTATGAAACTTATGTCAGTCGATTCATCTGCAGCACCACTAGGTAGACACCTCTCACAGGTTGATACTTCTACTAATCAGAATAAGAATTGTGTGCAGGGGCGGTTGTTTGTGAACAACATTGCTATGACTGGTCCATTTGAATTCCTGCCTGTCTGTCCTTCTTCCAGGAGCTAAGGTGGCAGAGGAGGCCGTAGCGGCAGCAGAGAACAGGAACCAATGCCCCACAGGCTGGTTCCAACTTGGATCGCACTGCTTCAAGTACATCGAGAATGCAAGGACATGGCCCCTAGCAGAGGTATCATGGTTACTCTCTACTGTGAATTAAAGGGAAAGTTTAATCGAAATCAGCTCGCTTATTTGGTTCGAGGTTACCCTTAAAGGTGATTTGCCCTTTTTTTTTTTGAGGCACTGCATGCGTCATGTAAAATACTGAATCTCCCCTTTAAGTTAGTTTTATTGGAATTTTCTTTAAGCGTGGAATATTTATTGATATATTTATATTATGTAAGACCTACTGTATATTGGAACCCACAGGACATTGGTTAAGACAGAGATCATCTAATATATCTAAGAGCATTTTTAAAGAGCATTAATTGCGATGGACAATATTTGATTGTGAGAGTCCAGAAGATAAGTTATCACAGACTGGACTACTGACTAATACTTACATTATGAAATGTCTTTGTCCCTGTCTACCTCTCACTGTAGCGCCACTATGTGTCCCTTGGAGCAAACCTGGTGTCTGTGCACAGCTCTGCGGAGGATCAGTTTCTACAGGTTGTGGTGGGGTGCAAGGCTGGCGGTTTCTCTCCTACCTGGATTGGAGGATTTTATGCTGTTCAGGTGGAGTATACTCACAGATCAACAGTATCTTTGGTATACTCATCAATATCTCAAGGGTCACTGGTAAAGTCAGATCTAGGTTTGGAAGATCTTATAGATGTGCTAAAAAAACAACAACAACACTGCAGTATCCACTGGCACACTATTATAATAATAATAATAATAATAGTAATATGGGATTGCTTTGATACTGAGACCTCACTTCTTCACCACAGGACAGGCTATGGTTTTGGAGTGACGGCTCCAAATTTGATTACCAGAACTGGAAGAAAGGAGAGCCCAATAATAGCGGTGGCAGAGAGCCATGTATGGTGATGAACTGGGGAGGTACAGTAGGCCCACTATCATTCACTGATACATTCATCAAATTAAACTTTATTCATAGTACATTTAACAAATAAAACTGACACACACACCACACACCGCAAACACACTATTATATTGTTGTGTGAACATCTGAGATTATTTGAGAGGTAATTTCTGTTCTGTTTCCTTTTAAAATGAATACTGCTGGAACGATATAAACTGTGGAAACAGCTTTCCCTCTGTGTGCTCCAAAATAATCTGTGAAATCCAGAGAAACTGAAACCATAAATGCTACTCCATAGTGTCAGCATCCAACTGAACACTTTTTATGGTAAAGTCAAATATTTAGTAAAGTTTATTTGTTGCTGTAAATTTGAGTTAGTTGTTGTTCATAAATGTTGAGTAATGGTTTTGTTGTTTATTATTGTCAATAAAACAGGTTGTACACATTATTTGTTTCCTCTAATGAGTCATTATTAAACATGAATGATACTGCCATAATTGTAAGAGGATTCTTAAAGGTACATTCTAATAATAATAATATGCCATTTAGCAGACGCTTTTATCCAAAGCGACTTACAGTCGTGCGTGCATACATTTTTGTGTATGGGTGGTCCCGGGGATCGAACCCACTGCCTTGGCGTTACAAGCGCCGTGCTCTACCAGCTGAGCTACAGAGGACCACACATTCTAGGATCTCAGAGTTTGTTCAATGGTCATTTAAATTCTTGATATTTATCCATTGATTCAATGTTATTATAGTAAACAAAAACTGAAACAAAAATAACAATTTAATTTGGATAAACAATTTAGTAAACTGAAATAAAATAATTAATAAAAACATTTTAACTTCATAAAAATATCCTGAAACTATTATCTTTGACTGCAAATTAAAATAAAAACCATCATAAATTGTTTAGTTTTAGTTTTTTCCCCTTTGGGCGAAAATCTAATTGGGTTTTCAAGCTTTTCTTTCTAATGGGGTTTTCCAGCTACTGAATCTGACGGGTAAATGCTGCCAGTAAATGGCAATGTTTCAAATAGGCCTAGCTTGTGCATCACTATCACTAGCTATCAGTAGCTAATAGGGATGAAATCCGAGGGCGAGCGCCGAGCGTGAGTGTGAACCATAGGTGTGAACAATGGCGGCAGCAAAAGGTACAGCCCTGTATGGTTGTTTTGAGTATGTTGCTGCAAAGGACAAAAGCAAATGTATTTAAAGTGTCAGAAGATGGCAGCGTGTGTGGAACAGAGATAAAAAGGAAAACCCAACCAACCTCAAAGTTCATCTGAACAGCGCCCACAAAGAATCATACAAACAATTTCAGGATATGTTTTTGTTTCAGTCGCCTCCATCTCCTCTAACTGAAGCTAATTGTAGAGATTTTCTTTCTATTGATAATGTAAAATTAACAGCCGTACAGAAAGACTCATGTGAAGGTACACAGGAAGTGGCACAGGTCCTAATCCAGGCACTTGTCATCTCCCGTCTGGATTACTGCAACTCGCTGTTGGCTGGGCTCCCTGCCTGTGCCATTAAACCCCTACAACTCATCCAGAATGCCGCAGCCCATCTGGTGTTCAACCTTCCCAAGTTCTCTTACGTCACCCCGCTCCTCCGCACACTCCACTGGCTTCCAGTTGAAGCTCGCATCTGCTACAAGACCATGGTGCTTGCCTACGGAGCTGTGAGGGGAACGGCACCTCCGTACCTTCAGGCTCTGATCAGTCCCTACACCCAAACGAGGGCATTGCGTTCATCCACTTCTGGCCTGCTGGCCCCCCTTTCAATGACACAGGTCAAACGTTTTCTGTAAGTCTTCACAAGGTTTTCACACACTGTTGCTGGTATTTTGGCCCATTCCTCCATGCAGATCTCCTCTAGAGCAGTGATGTTTTGGGGCTGTCGCTGGGCAACACGGACTTTCAACTCCCTCCAAAGATTTTCTATGGGGTTGAGATCTGGAGACTGGCTAGGCCACTCCAGGACCTCTAAATGCTTCTTACGAAGCCACTCCTTCGTTGCCCGGGCGGTGTGTTTGGGATAATTGTCATGCTGAAAGACCCAGCCACATTTCATCTTCAATGCCCTTGCTGATGGAAGGAGGTTTTCAAAATCTCACGATACATGACCCCATTCATTCTTTCCTTTACACGGATCAGTCGTCCTGGTCCCTTTGCAGAAAAACAGCCCCAAAGCATGATGTTTCCACCCCCATGCTTCACAGTAGGTATGGTGTTCTTTGGATGCAACTCAGCATTCTTTGTCCTCCAAACACGACGAGTTGAGTTTTTACCAAAAAGTTATATTTTGGTTTCATCTGACCATATGACATTCTCCCAATCCTCTTCTGGTTCATCCAAATGCACTCTAGCAAACTTCAGACGGGCCTGGACCTGTACTGGCTTAAGCAGGGGGACACGTCTGGCACTGCAGGATTTGAGTCCCTGGCGGCGTAGTGTGTTACTGATGGTAGGCTTTGTTACTTTGGTCCCAGCTCTCTGCAGGTCATTCACTAGGTCCCCCCGTGTGGTTCTGGGATTTTTGCTCACCGTTCTTGTGATCATTTTGACCCCACGGGGTGAGATCTTACGTGGAGCCCCAGATCGACGGAGATTATCAGTGGTCTTGTATGTCTTCCATTTCCTAATAATTGCTCCCAAAGTTGATTTCTTCAAACCAAGCTGCTTACCTATTGCAGATTCAGTCTTCCCAGCCTGGTGCGGGTCTACAATTTTGTTTCTGGTGTCCTTTGACAGCTCTTTGGTCTTGGCCATAGTGGAGTTTGGAGTGTGACTGTTTGAGGTTGTGGACAGGTGTCTTTTATACTGATAACAAGTTCAAACAGGTGCCATTAATACAGGTAATGAGTGGAGGACAGAGGAGCCTCTTAAAGAAGAAGTTACAGGTCTGTGAGAGCCAGAAATCTTGCTTGTTTGTAGGTGACCAAATACTTATTTTCCACCATAATTTCCAAATAAATTCATTAAAAATCCTACAATGTGATTTTCTACATTTTTTTCCCTCAATTTGTCTGTCATAGTTGACGTGTACCTATGATGAAAATTACAGGCCTCTCTCATCTTTTTAAGTGGGAGAACTTGCACAATTGGTGGCTGACTAAATACTTTTTTCCCCCACTGTATGCATTGCATTTCTTATCCAAATGAGCGGTTGTTTCTAAATGTAACAATGATAAGTTGAATCTCTGTCTCTCCCTTTCACTCTCTTTCTATTGACCCCTCCTTCCCCTAACCAAGCAGTCATGCTATTGTTGGTCCAGTCCACTAGGGACCTGTTTTCATTGTATTATGTTAGTAATCAATAACCTATGCAGTGTGTGTGTGTGTTTGTATTCTGTGTTATTATTTAGTTAGTTAGTAAATAAATAATTAAGCCAATTTGTGTATTGCTGATTCATCAATATGGTTAGGGTTCTTGCAGGTTCAAGGATTATGCGACGTTCAGAATGAGACTGATGAGGTAATGATTGAATAAGTGACTGTTATTGATATATAACATATATATATCTTCTAAGAGTTTAATTTGGGAGATGGTAACTCGTTAATTGTTACATGATTAATTTAATCGAGTGACAATTAAACATAGTTAGTTGATTCTATACATAACAGTCATCACATTAATGCAAGTCACGTTACGACAATAGTTTGTAGTAGAGTAGTTTGTAATAATGTGTTGTGAAATGTAATGTTTTAATATATGTAATTGCCTTAATGTTGCTGGACACCAGGAAGAGTAGCTGCTGCCTTGGTATAATAAAATACAAAATACAAAAACAAGGCATAGCATGCATTGCTCAACCTCCATCCGATTTAGCATCCACTTTGAACGCATGGGACATACCATTGGAGAATATCCTACTCTTCGTAACTCACAATGGGGCGAACATAGTAAAGGCTATTGTAGAATACACAAGAGAATAACCGTGATCAACAACAACCAGAGCTGGCCATAGCTTTGAACGGTGCGGCAGAAATGTCTGAATCTGAGTCAGACACCGACGATTATTCTTTTAAGGCTAGGCACCACACCCTCATATTTTTTCCCTTAATCATATAACAATCAACTTTTACCAGTTGGATGTAGACACAAATATCATACTTTTTTGTATTACAATGTTTCTGAAATGTTTTCAAAAAATATGCATATTAGCATATCGCGCAAATCAATTTTTCTGGACACTGGATGAAGTCAGCCTATATTTTGGTTTAATTTTGTTAAGACACTCCAGGACCGGACTTGTCCAGAGGAGATTGTGGATAAATACTTTTTTTTCTATCTGGAAAATACTAAAAACATGCACGTAAAATGCATTTATTGTGCATTTTCCCCCAAAAAAATTATCTAGAATAAAAAATGGACAACATATCAACAAATCCTTCTGGGCAAATCTGGAGAATGTCTCTAAGGATAACCAAACAAAGTGTGGTATGTAGTATGATAAACTAAATAACATTTACATGATACTTCAGGAGACAGCAGAGGGAGCATGGCCCCCATCGACAGGACAGCAGTGGAGAAGGCGAAAAGCTTCAATTTCCTCGGCATACACATCACTGACAATCTGAAATGGTCCACACACACAGACAGAGTGGTGAAGAAGGTGCAACAGCGCCTCTTCAATGTCAGGAGGCTGAAGACATTTGGCTTGGCCCATAAGACCCTGACAAACTTTTACAGATGCACAATTGAGGTTTTCCTGTCGGCCTGTATCACCGCCTGGTACGGCAACTGCACCGCCCCCACCTCACCGGGGGCACACTGCCTGCCCTCCATGACACCTACAGCACCCGATGTCACAGGAAGGCCAAAAATATCATCAAGGACATCAACCACCTGAGCCACGGCCTGTTAACCCCGCTATCATCCAGAAGGCGAGGTCAGTACAGGTGCATCAAAGCTGGGACCGAGACACTGAAAAACAGCTTCTATCTCAAGGCCATCACTGTTAAATAGCCTTCACTACATTTTTTTTTACATTTTAGTCATTTAGCAGACGCTCTTAACCAGAGCGACTTACAGGAGCAATTAGGGTTAAGTGCCTTGCTCAAGGGCACATTAACGTCATTTAGC